TGAACCTTGGGCTCATAACCCTGTGCGGGGTCACGCGCAGGGAACTGATGTCGAGCGAACCACGTCACTGAAATCACGGACACTCGTTCAGCAGGAATGTTTTTCCATCATTCGGCACAGACAGTCTTGTTCTGACTAGCTCGTGTAGGGCCCGTAACCTACAGCAATCACATTCTAATTTCAGCAATACATACAGAACTGGCTGACTTCACATGTGGGCCACAAGACCCGAGTCGATGCACAATCATGCTGTGTTAGATACGAGTGCGTGTTGTCACACGTAGCAGCATGAGTCACAGGAGTCCGCGTGAATCGGTGATCCTGAAACAGCCATTCTGCGGTCAATCAGAGGATATATGTGGAACGGGCACATATGCGACATCAGATCACAGATTCAAGCCTTCCAACAATGAACGTTGGGCGTGACACACATCGACCACAAAGTGCACCCTGGCCGACAGCAAGCCTACGGTGTTGCACAAGTGCTGCGGCGAGATGAGCGAATGCATGCTTGAACTCCCCTGCTCAGTGCTCGCCAGCCGAAAGGCAACCGCACTAGCTGTCCGCGGGGCGCCTTGCGTGCGCCCGTAATGCAGTAGCAAGTGGTAGGACCGGGACCCACTCCGGGACTCCGGGCAGTCGGAAAAAGGTGCGGGCAAAAAAAACGACACGTTGTCTGTCAGACAATTGCTTCATGTCCACAGTTGGTGGCCCTGACAGGTGGGAACGGTGTGTCCATGCCCCTCGTCACGGCACAAGAAATGGTGCGCGAGCTCACAGCGTGAACAAGGTGGATCCGTAGCGCTCGGTGTTCTAGCGATGGCCTGTGAGGTAGGGACCTTGTCTGAAGCCGCACTGTGTGGAGCGCAGCTCGGCGTCGATAGCAGCTTCCAACCATTCTTGGAGGATCCGAGCAAAAAAACGTGTACAAAGTGCTAAAAAGGCAAACGGGCCGGTAATTGTTGGCGTCAGCCATCGTTCATTTCTTGTGCACCTATGCCACTCCTATGAGGCGGGCTTTATTGAAAAGATCCAACAACGGCTGCCGGTTGTGCGGCGACAGCCGCTGAAGCGCTTCCGCCGGGATATTACCCTGGCCAGGCGCTTTGTGGGAGGCCATGCCCCTGAGCACCTTGGCCAATTCCTCCAGCGTGATGCGCTCCATGTTCACCGGGCTGTCATCGGTGAGCCTGTGGGTGGGACCAGTGCGACCTGTATGGTTTTCTGGGCAGTTCAGCATGACTGTGCGTGGTTGTAGTCCGAGCGAAGTCGCTTGATCCATATCTGCGTATCGTTGGCGTCGATCGTCTCGTCGCTCTCCTTGAGCCTATCTTTAAGCCACAAGCCTCGCCTGTCAGCGAATCGATTTGTGAAGACGCTGTTCTTTGTCCCGGTGTTGCCGCTGATGAGCTCCCAGGTCTGCTGTGAAATCCACGGATGCTTCAGGCGGTGGTCCGGTGGGGGAATGCAATGCTCCATCGAATGAAAAACAGGGTCCCGAAACTTCTGCCACTTCTCGTCGAGACTGTAAAGACTGATTCCAGCTCGGCCTCTTCATCTGCTCCATCAGTTCCTCCGTCGACCGGAGGCCGCATAAGCTTGATTGTCGAGGGAAACTCATGCGGTTGCCGAACAGCTCCGTTTTGCCAGGGAACCCCATTGCCGTTGCACCCTAGTTTACACCCTGCTCTATGGCCATGAGGGGGCCTGCGGGGGCCTGGAGCCTCTCTCCCATTGACCCGATTTTTGCGGAGAGCTCTTTCTGTTGCTCTTCCTGTTTGTTGCCCTAAAGCTTCGCTCGTTCAAGCTGAGCCACTACATGTGAAAGGAGCGCGGGCATCTTGTCCAGCTGCTTTCTGTCCCCTAAAACCGCTCACGAGCTTTGAGCGTCGGGTCAGGTCGCCCGTGAATTTCATGAGTTTTTGAGTTGGGCGGAAAATCCCCAGCTGCACACGAACTTTCGGCGCAGCTCCTCAATGTTGCACGGCTATGAGTTCCTCAGCGCAAGCTCAGCTACATTCTCGACAACAAACTGGGATGCGGTCTTTGCTGATAGCACATCCGACCAACCCGGAAAGGAATTGTTTTTTTTGCGTTTGTGCGAAAGCTTGTGTGTAGAGGAGAAGATCTTGAAAGGCAGGTATCAGGCCCAGTCGTCGTAGACTGCACTGGGCGGAGCAATGCGCTGAATTAGAGTGGCATTGGCTCCCGTATACCCCACGGGCCCCAGCTACTCCCTTTCCTGTTCTTCTTTACGCCATTTTACAACTTCACAGGCTGGCGGGAAAAAAAAGCGGCAAGTCTGGAGCAAGTTAGTGGGGTTGCCAATGTGAAAAAAGCTCTTTAGGTCATGTGCTCTCTTTTCTTACTGACAATAAATAGGCTGACGTGTGTATGCTTTGCATAGGGCCGCCGCCCTCAAAGGGACACCTTGAAGGGTGAAAATTACAGTGTTCATTCATTCACACGCACCGACAGTCGCCCACACTCACTCCGCAGACGCATTCACACTCGCTCACACGCACTCGCGCTCACTTTCACTCACGGACTCACTCACTCACTCACTCACTCATTCAGTCGCTCGCCCGCCCGCCCGCCGTCCGCCCGCCCGCCCGCGCGCACGCACGCACGCACGCACGCACGCTCTCACTTACGCACTCACTCACTCACTCACTCTTGCAGTCACGCACTCCCTTACGCTCTTTCACAGTCACACTAACTCACAGTCACACGCACTCACAGTCGGCACTTTCTCAGCACAGCACAGCCGCAAGCCGCTCAACCGGGCGCGCATGAAAGCTAGATAGTGCGCTGCATTTTTTTGCTGCTTCCGGAGAGCAATGCTTGCAATCTGAATTCACTCATCGAGGTGAGGAAGGCGCTGCAGGAGGCGGTCGCGCTTGGCCCTCGTGGAGGCGGATATGCGCGCTGCCGGGCACGGCTGAGGATCGAATTGGTGGGGCAGGCATGCCCCTGCAGGTGTGGGGCTTTAAGTGTTGTGCCAGACCCCCCCCCTCCCCAACGAGTCGAGTGCAGGATGTCGCCGACAAATCCGACCTGAATCCGACAACTGCAAGGCACGAATGCGGCCATTGGGTTTGCGCAGCGCAACAAGGCGTCCAACTCGGATGCACGCCAGGACGCAGGAGGGACCCGAGCTCTGCTCCGAAGAGCCGCCGCTCAGGCGTTCGATGCCGGCTTCCTCGCGCCTCAGCGACGTCCGTAGACGTGCAGTTTTGCGGAGAGCCTCCCCTCCCGCAGCATCCGCATGCTGTTGCCTGGCGTCGGGCATGCATAAGAGGGCTTCGGAAAACAGTGCCGAGCGAACCAGCACTAACCCTCCCCGGCTGCAGGCAGCAGGTGGACGATTACGGGGACCATGCCCTCGCCTGCTCCCACACAAGGTTGTTGGCTCGCCAAGCGAAAATGGTCGAGCGGGCCTGGGTGCACGAGTCGTGAGGTGGTTGGATGATGGGCAAGTCGTCCCTCAACAATGGCTCGTGCCCACTACCGCATTGGGCGTGCCAGCTGACGACCGCAGACGGCTCGACTTAGTCGTTTATTGCGCCACGCCGCGGGGAGGCGCACTGTGCTGCGATCAAACGGAGCACATACGCGGAGCTCAGCAGCGGAGGACCGCAGGAGCTCGTTGTTCTGGGATCGGACGTCGGCGGGCGCTGGAATATAGCGAGGTTGGCCGCTTCGTGCAGCGTCCAGTCCCAAAGAGCTCCGCCAGCTCTCCGCCGCGCGGCCGCCGCGGGCTGGTCGCGCCGTTGGTGGGGCTTGCTGGCTGTTGCCGTGCAGCAGGCCGTCGCCAGCACGGCACTGGGGCAGGCTTGGCCAGTGCCGCTCCACCTGCGTCAGAGGGATGGAGCGAGTGCTCGAGCTCGCCGGACCAGCAGCGGGCCCCAGTCGCTTGCCGCTGCGCTCGTAGCAGGTGGCAGCGACGACACTACGTAGACGTAGCGACGGTAGTCAGCCGGCCTCTGGCAGCCTACTGCGACAGCCACCTTGCAGGCGGAAAAAAGGCGCGTAAAAAAAAAACACAGCATGTGCCGGGTCGGCCATCGATGCGACAATGGAAGTTTGCAAGGCTGATTGTTTACAGTTGCCACCGGATGCAGCGGATTCTGATTGGACGTCGAGCATGTTCGCACACGCAATGGACGCTTGCGATTGATTGATTGCGATTGTTTTCAAGCGCACCTTTGTACAGCTGCTCGTGCATTTTCGGGCCGCAGGTTCAATAATTTTTTTTTAAACTTGCGTAGAACCAATCAGTGTTCGGGCCGTGTGCAGACTTAAGCAACACAACCAGGCTGCGTCCTGTTCTCGCAAAAGAGTCCCTGGCAGGATTTTCCTACGCTAAGCCATTGCCATATATATGCAAGTTCAGAAGAGTTGTATCGGGCGGAACTGCAACTAGTCCCGCAAGGGAGGCTGCAATACTTCGATGTGTCCCGATAATGTCCCGATTTGGACTGACTGCATTCCAGAAGATGTGCTATGCCTCCAGACGTGCATGACGATTTTGAGCAAGGAATGCTGTTTGTGTTGAAGTCATTGCAAGCGGAAAAGGTTAGTGCAAGGCATCACCTGTCACATTGGTATCATGACACATGCGCGATGCGATCCAGAATTTTTATCGAGCCCAGGGCGTTGGTGAGTTTCGGCGACGCGTCCTAAGGGCGTGGGGTGGGCTTTGTTGGAGGTAGACGGCATGACGCAAAAAAACAAATGAGCACAGGACGCGTGGAACGATGCAGAATGCTATCCGCTAGCGGTCAGGTCGCAGCGTGCGAGAAAACATTGACAGGGAGTGTGGTTGGACAATGATGGGCATGTGCGATGTAATAGGGACCATAGACGCTCTTCGTTTAGGTTTGGCATCGCGCCGAGATGAATGACCAGAATTTGTGGGGTTGATGCGCTGCAGGCATGAGCTCAAAGCATGCCCCTGATTGCGTGCTAGAGAGTTGTACCGTCCAGAAAATCCCAAAATGGGAGATCGCGGAGGCCTCACTTCCTATAAGGATTCCTATACTGTCGGCATGATGCCGAATCTTGTAGCGTATGCTGCTTGTGGATTCAGTGCGTCAGGAAGTCGCAGCCGCGACCGTGACACCAAACGCAAGGCGGACCTTGGATTCAAAAGCACGAAGTCTGATTGGACCAAACATCGTGGAGGACAGTCGGAGTCGTTCACGCAAGAAAGATAGCCGAAGCCGGAGCCGGAGCAAAAGTGCAGAGGCATGGCATCTCCGCAAAAGGTGTGGCGCCTTTAATCCGTGAACCAGCCTGTGGCACAGGCGAGGCCCAAGCGACCAGATGATTATGGTGTCAGCAACTTACTGATCGGCTGCCATCGGCTGCCCATATGTTCCGTAGCGCAAAAAACGAGATTTACTAGTGTCACTAGAGTTTGCTTTAGGTGGACACCATGAAAATCACTGATGATGACGCCGCCTTCATCCTGGGCAAAGGTGGCAAAACCAAGGCGGCCACACGAAGAGACATAGACGCTCAAGGTGAGATGCACGCGGCAAACTGTCATCGGTGCTGCAGGAGAAGATTGCGAGGGTTTCCAACGCAGAAATAGACGCTCGGCCCAAGCATGCAGGGATTAATGTATCAGTTGACAGGCGGTCGTCACATCTTGTTCCAGTCGGGCAGACGGAGCTTGGCAGTCGGGCGAGCTTTGGAAAATTCCGCCGCCTTGGCACAGGAGCTCTTCGAGCGAGATTTGGTCTTGGAGATCCGGGGGTCCAAGAAGGAGCGTCGTCGAGCAAAGAAATATGCCGAAGGCCTTGAACCGCAGCCATCATTCGCATTCTCTTCCCGGTGCGATTGCCACAGGTGTCATGGCACAGCGGACGGGGTGCATCCCTCAGAGTAGTCGCAGCAGCAGAGGTGTTTGAGGCATGCTGCGTGACATGTTGAAAAAAAGAGAGAGAGACAGAGAGAGAGAGAGAGAGAGAGAGAGAGAGAGGGAAGAAGGCCTGGGGAGCGAGAGAGAGAGAGAGACTGGGAGAAGGCTCCTCTGGATCTGAGACCCTCCGAAAGACAGAAACTGAGCAAAACAGCACAAGCCTTGCACTCAGGCCCGTAACAGTGAACGAGGACTACGACGACGGAGATTTGACAATGCTGCGCGCCATCTCGGCTGGCTTTCTTTATGTGCAGGGACCGGGCATGATTCCTCTGTCGCACACCTAGACGATAGCGGTGTTACACTGTCGCGCGACATGGGAAAGTGCCAGGTTCCACAAGAGGCCGTGGGCTTCGTGACAGGGCGAGTTTCTTGGCTGCAACCACGACAGGACCTTCGTCTGTATTTGTGCAAGCAAACCTGCCCCCACATCAGGCAGGCAACTTCCTACGCACCATCGAGGAAGAGTGGGGAACATTGATGTCGGGAGCTCACTTGTTCAACAGGTGTGAATGCGGCCCACTGGGATGCTTGAGGTTTTTCGTCGAAGTGGAAAGCTCACGCTCCCGGAGCAAGGACTGCGCTTATCCCATCTAGTGCTATTACAAGTGACAAGCAAATTCCCTCCAGCACGTTTTCAGCTGAATGCCCTCAACCTGTGAACCCTCTCTCCCATCCGCATTCTCCGCTTACACTAGGCCCTGCAATAAAAATCGATTTGACACAGGGCCGCCCAGGTTCACTTCACTTGTCAGGAGTACGAGAAACTCGCCATCTTCGGAAACGTGAAAGCACGTCGCGGGGCAGAGCTGAAGGCTTGACTTGGGGTGGACAGTGATAGGTAGATAGGTAGATAGGTAGCTAGGCAGATAGGTAGGCTCGAGATAGCATAGGTTTAGACTGTCGTATACTGCGGGCTCGGTTTAATCTCGCCAGACTTCCTTGCTTGCTGAAGGTTTACACGGTATGTTTTCTGGGCGGTGACGCCGCTGCATTTCTGCACATTTTGGCTGGGGGCTGGCAGGGTGGGAGTATGATGACGACATGACAATATGACCGTGATGAAGATGATGACCATGCCAGCAGTATCTCTCACCCTGCAAACCCTGCTTTGGCCGAAATCCTCAGCCCTACAGTCTCCAGACCAGAGCACACTTCGAGCCGAAAGCTTGTAGTAGGCTGAACCCCCCAGACTACAAAGTAGTGCAGCCTACCCCTGAAATCAGATCACACCCTGAGCAACCACGAAACATACAAGACAGAACGATCACAATTTGGGACTTTTGCCGGCTTCTAAGGATATTGTTACGAGAGTCAAACAGAGAAGCCTTCAAAATTCAAAATTCGAGTTATACTTCCTCTGTACGCAATACTGACTGAACACCAGACCTGCGGACTCCAAAACTGAGCTTCTAAGGATTGTGAAAGGCTTTATTGGATTTTATGGGGACCTAGCATATTAGCCCTGCCCTTTTTAGCTACCCTGCCTGAACAATCAAGCCTGAAAACTTGATCGCGGCATAGCACTAAACCATCAACCCTTAGCCCGGAGCCTTCAGCCGTCAACCCTAGAAGCTCAAAGCCTCAACCTTAAATTCTAAACCCTCTAGAATCCTTAAACGGCCTAGTTGAGAAACGTCGCAGTGTGGATTGGTGCTGATGTTCAAACTTTGGATGAAACCAGAAGCAATGGCCAAGACGGCCTGCGCCCGCAAAGCTTGAATTCCCTTCAACTGTACACAAGCGATTTTCATGGCAGACATGATTCTGACCTTGAAGCATTGCGTCATTTCGAAAAGAAGGACCCTCGGCCAACAAACGCATCAACTAACTATAACTTCAAACATAGAGTATGTGTTTTCCCTGGGTTTCGACCATTCAAGGCTTCTTACAGCCTGCTCTGTGAGCCGTGCTTCGCTTGCTTCGTTCGTTCGGAGGTCCTCAGCGCAGTGGAGACAAAGGTCCCCGGCTACTTTGACAAAATCCGCGACGACGTTCCTCGTCCGCAATTCGCCACAAGACTTGGAACGATGTAGCTTGGCTCCTTGAGCTAGAACAAGCTCAATTGGTGGAAGGTGGTGCCTCGAGATCGGGGTGCTGACCACGGAGACGGTTCTTGGGGCACGGCTCCTCGTATGCAGTTGGTGATGGTGAGAAGGACGAGTTAGCTCTGCCCGTTATGTCATTCGCATGTTCAGGACACGATGACTTTTCAGGATGACGAGCTGTCGTATGCTTTGGGGAAACAGGTGGGCAGTTGCCGCTGGCAATCATTCGTTTAGGAGTGCTGCATACTTGGACGACGATGGGGCTGGAGCAGCGTTTTGCCAGGGCGGCACCCGGAAGAAGATCGAGAGATCCTCCGGCGCCATTGTGCAGTATGTGGGGCAGGCGGCCTTTTGCCATCTCTGGCCATGCCTCTCTCCGGGCTGCAGGTTGCAGGTGTACACGTATCATGCCGCATGCATCATCACCTCAAGCATAGGACCCTTTGCAGCTTGCCTGCCTGAAAGGGTTTTCCTTGGCAAGCTTTAGCCTGTTTAGTTTGTGCTTGTTGCTCGGAAGATGTAGTTTGCCATGGTCAAGAGCATGGCGGCGCGCCATGGCCGCCTGCACGTGATTTGCTGGCTGTGGCTCTGGTCGTGCATGCTGCTGGCGGACGTTTACAAGAGCCGGGTTTTTGCTGTGCAGCACCGCGAGATTGAAGATGTCGCAGCTGCCGCTTCCGAACGCAACGCCCAACAATTCTTAGCACGGGTCCGGAAGATACCTCTCACGAGCCAGAGATCAAGCATGGAAGAAGCGCTGAATCAGACCGATTTAGACGAACGCGGGATCTCCCGTTTCCTGCTGAGTTGTTTGGAGGTGGCGGCCAAGGCCAAAGATGAAGACGAGAGCAAGCTTATTGGTATGGTGTGCAGCTTGTGTAGTGGGGGCTCGGAAGAGGACCCGGCCGTACGTCAGCGAGCGCTTGTGGTTTCCTTGCAACTCTGGAGGCGCAATGCCAGCCAGTTTACGGCCTTGCGGGTTCTGCACAGGTGGGGCATCAACGAGACAGATGCCACAGACCAGCAGTTAGAAGAGATTCAATTCATGTCCGAGGATTTGTTGGCGACTGACAATTGGCGACTCCTTCCGCTGTTTTTGAAGGCATTCCCCAGGTTTGCGAAAGAACATGCAAGCAGGATCGATGAGGCCATCGACAAGATGTGCGAGGAGGGAAGCTTCAAAGCCGCAATCCAAGTTGCGAAGTGTGCGTTGTGGCCGAGTTCTCGGATCGGCCGGCTGTACCGAAAGCTGCAATTCCATCAGATCAAAACTGGCGCGAAATCCGAGGGCAAGGAGCTCGCTTCGGTCGCTGCCTGCAGAAACAACCAAGGCCTACAGACGCTCTTCGTGAAAGAGCTCTTCAAAGCAGGAAAACTCGAGCTGGCTTCCGAGCGCATCAGCGCATGGAGCCTCGAAGGCCTGCAGCCAACATCCTGGCAGAAGTGGAAGGGTGGCAAGCGGGCTCGGAAGTTCTACCGGGCGCCGGCCCGTTTAAACGTTCGCACGGTGAGCTTGAAAGACGAAGTGGAGGAGGGCGTGTCGGTGTTGCAGCGGGCGCCGTGCATCGGCTTCGACACCGAGTCTCTACCGAGGGGCCGGCCGTGCCTACTTCAAGTTGCATCTGGAAGGCATGCGCTGCTGATCGATTTGCTCACACTCCAGCCCGACTCTGCCGCATCTACAGCATCTCGGTGGGCCCTGTGTTGCCATCAAGAACAATCTTGACCTTTGCTTCTGAACTTAGGCAAGGCTCTTTTCCGATCCGGACATCGTTAAGGTCAGCTTCGCCGGCAACTTGCATGGAGCTGGAGGGTGGGACGAAAAAACGCTTGCAGGCTCGCAGCCATCGAAGCGTTTGTGCACGGCCACCTAGGTCGCCAAGATCTGCGGCAGTTGTCCACTTTTCTGGGCGTCGATGCCAAGTCCGTGACGCCTCACTTTGACTTGAAGCATCTGGGAGCGTTGTGACTCGCCTACGCAACAATCTCCGTGCCGGGTCCGAACGCTTTAATGTACCCATGCAAGACGCCTCACATGTCTCAGCTGTCGTGCCTTATTTGGCCTGTTGCCTTGTGCTTATTTACTCAGAGCATTTGGGCCGCTATGGGAGCAAAGGCGCACGTTCCACGCCACAGGTTGAAGTGGCAAACGGTTTCAGGTCGTTTCCTGAGCCTGCACTTTTCTGAGGTACCGCATGAACAAATCCGATATCGACTTCAACGAGGTCCGCTTCTCGGATTCGACATACAAGTTTGTTCCTCGGAGCTTGCCTGCCCGGTAGCTAGTAGCTTACCATCTGATTGCTTTTGCAGCCTTCGCCACTGCTGTGCCGCCGATGAGTTTGGACAAAACTGACGTATTGTCTAGAACAACGGATGCTCACAGACACAATTCATGCAGAGCGACGCTTGATCCAGTCGAATGTTGGCTGAGCTCCACGTGGCTTAGTCAATCTGGTTGTGAAGTAGGCTGGGTAGGCAAGGCAAGGCCCGCAAGGCCGTGCCGTGTGCCACTGAAGACAGGCCCTCGACGGCCTGGGGCTCTCCTCCCTGGCTGAGGAGGTCTTGGGCAAGCCGCTGAACAAGGCCGGGCCAGTTAGGGAAGTGCACAGCATGCTGGAGCAAGGACCGTGACAAGCAAAGTCAAAGCTAAGACAGCCAAGGCAGCCAGAAAGAGTCGTAACACAGCGATGGGACCCGAATGCGCACAAAGCCTGCCCATCACACTTGCAGAATTGACAGCGTGTTAGTTCGACCTGTTGCGCGTAGCACAAGGAGATGCGTGCATCCGACTGGTCCAGAAGGCCCTTGCTGCCTGCACAGCAGCAGTATGCGGCAGTGGATGCCTGGATTCTGGTGCAGTGCCCTGCGCTGTCAAAGGATTGAAGACAGGAGAGAGGTAGAATCGGTAGAAAACCGCTGGGCAGGGAAGCAGTCATGGCAGGCTGTAGAATGGACATCTACATCGTGTAGGCGTCTTTGCAACTCAGGCTGTGGCGGCGACTGAAGCACTTCGCGAAGTAGGACAAGCAATGACCGCTGGGCACAGTGGACGGAAGGGCTCGTGGGCGCATGCTTGCGGGTGGTGCTCAAGCCAGCATGAAAAAGGAGTGTCGATCGGCATGGGATTTCTCAGTGTTGAGGAACGTTGAGGATAAGGGGTAGTCGGGACCAGGTCTAAGTTCCACTGGCCTGCTTGCACGTTCGATTCTGGAAGCCGTCTAGAGCATTTTTGATGGGTAGTCAGAGTCACTACCTGAAAGGACCCGCAGCCGGAGCCTTTCCAAAGACAGCAGGAACACCACCCAGCCCAAATCCAAGATGTCTCAAAGACGAACCTCAAGAATGCAGAGGGTGATGCCGCTGCCTCTCCTCCTGCTTGCTCTTCTATGTGTTGCTGGCAGCGAGGACTGTGGATCAGAGGAGTGTGTGCTGGAAGTGTTGCAGCCGATTCGCACATGTGGCGAGTGGTGCCAGGGAGCCGAGTCGGCAAAATGTTTGATAAACCAAAGCCTGATGCCGTGCCGCGGCTCTTTCTGCGAAACCAACTGTTTGCGATGGTCTCGATCAGTCCTGGCTGATCTTCGAAGAGTGAAGGTCACGTGCCGAGAGTTTTCCGATTTTGCATCATACCCTCGAGGCGCTTTGATTTGCAAGGAGGAGTGTCTTCTTCCAGAAATTCGGCCCGAGCGGTATCCGCTTCCCACTGGCGTGGGTTTGCTTTGCAGACCTCACTCTTGTGATCCAGCCGTGCAGCAAAGGTACAAAGGTGTAGCCTGGGCCCAGACTCCTGGGGTGGTTGAGCTCGAATGCCCATGCAATTGGTTCGGCTCGGACTGCCAAGACGACTGGGTACCCGTCCTTCGAGTCGAGAAGCGTGGATTGGGAGCCTTTCAGTTGCTCCACCTGCACGTGGAGCCGCATCTCTGGCATCGCCTCATGAAGGACAGAGCGTCCTCCTTGAGATGTCATTCTGTCATTCAATCACTTGCTCCCTTACCTTCCGCGTCTTTTCTCGCCGAGGGGACAACTGAACACCATGACGAGAAAAAAATCTGCAAACGGGAACCCCAGGACGGCCGGACAACGAGCCACCGTGGCACGATCACCAACCGGTTAGACTGTAAAGTGGTCGCGAAAGTACGTTTGTCTTTTTGTGAAACGCAGCTGCAACTGCAAAGCACTGTAAATCTCCATCGAGGTACATGAAGGGTAGTCATGAAATCCAAACAGAGTCCCAGAACCAGCAAGCCAGTAGCCAGATGGGGATTTTCGATGAATGAACAAATGAGGAAGACTAAGTGCCGCGGCTTAGGTTCGGATGGTAAGGCAACACCCAGGTGGCACCACGGGTGACGGAGGCAGCTGTACTCAAAGGTAATCAGTGCCAGAGTTACCGGGTTGCAGGCAACGACAAGGCTGTACAGCATCGGTCAGTTTTGTAGGTTTGTCGCCGACACCGCTTGGACTGTTCGTGAAACACTAAACAACTGCTGTGGAACTGCTGTGAGAGGACTACAGGCCCGGCAGTATCGTCAGACTGCAGCATTTGGATGCGAATGGTGTCGCCCGCGAGCAGCCCTACGCCCTCGGCTTTGGCAGCGAAGGTGCCGAGGGCAGCCTGGAAATTCTGACTGGGCCCCCACCAGAAGGCCTGAACAGCGTGGTTGTCGAGGTGGCGCACGCGGTACGGAAACTCACCTCAGGGCCGGTTCAGGGGCTCTTTGTGAACCCTGCGATCGCCGGTTTCTTCAATGGCCATTACCGCTTCCTTTTTGAGTCTCTGGCCTCCGCGCCCGAGGTGCGTCGCGTGGTGCTGGTGTCCTCCGGCGTGGGCTTATCTGGGGTGAAGGCTGCACTCTTGCAGTTGCTGGCCAAGCCACTGGACTGGCCTCTGGAGATCCACCTCTTCTATGGGCTTCGAGACGTCAGGGATTTGCCTTACAAGGTGCTGCTCGGTTCCCGGGAAGCTGCTTGAATTTGCGCATTAGATGGTGTTGTGGAGGAGCAGCTGGAAGCTTGGGTTCTGGCGGGCCATCTCAGCCTCACACTGCTGGTTTCAGGCTTCGCGAAGTGAATGAGATGGCCTCCTAAGCACTTCAACTCCCCTTCCCCCTGATCGCTTCCTCAACGAAATCCTTGAGGCCAGCGGCAGGGCGTCGAAGGTGTTCTCCAAGACGCAGTCTCCGGGCGGCAAGTCGCATCCGACAAAAGAAGCCTCTGGGAGACAACTGGCTCAGGTCGAGAGAGGTGTTTCGATGGCGAAGATGTTGGTGACTTGCCTGATTGGTAGGAAGCCTGGCAGGCCAGTGATTCGCTTCGATTTTCCTGTCGATTTCGGACACAGGCTTCAAACGCTGATGCGCTTCCGGCGCGTCTAGTACAGCTGCTGCCGTGCCTTCGCTGCACACCGTCTTTTGGCAATAGCAGCGATGCGTCTGCCGGCCCTGAGGTCAGGAAGGCTGTATCCCCAACAAGCACTGGCGATAGAACTTGCGGCAGGCGGGCGGGACAGCACCCTTAGCTGTCTTCGCTTGCTCGGACGATTGGATTGTAGTTGTAGCAACTGGTACTGAGAGAGAGGATCTCTTCGCTCTGCGTCGCAACTTTTTTGCAGCTGGATTCGTTTTGTAGCGGCCGGTGGGTGGGGTACATACTCGGAGACGTCTGAATACTTGAGGCTCCGGGACACTGCCGTGGTGATCTGCGGACGGTATGAATTGCTACGGGACACGCCGGTAGCATTGCAGGCCGTTTCAGCTTCAAGTGTGTTCCTGCGAGTCAGCGAGTCTGAAATGGGCCTTTTATGGGGAGGCAGTGTGTCGGCTGGACGAGGACGCTTTCACGCAAGAAGTCACCCTAGTCCTCGGAGTCCTCAGCTGGCAGTGCCTGTGCCATCGGAGGCCTCCTGCGCCGCCCTCGCAAAGGCATGCTTTTCGCTTTGCGCCACGGCGAGTTGTTCGAGGCATTGAAGCATCCGCTTCCCTGGCCTGCAGGAGCGCATCTTCACCAACATCTAGGTCCCCAGGTGTCAAGCCGTTCCGTGGCCTGAGCATGAATACATGGGCATTTCTGGTCCTGGTCCTCGTAAACCTGAAGGAGGTGTTGATGTGGTCAGGTGCAATGCGGTCGTGACTCGGAAGCTGCAGTTCCACATCCAAAAACTCGGGTCCGAGAGAGTGGCGCCCAAGCCCTCGACTTCCTACGATTGCGTGCGGAAAAGCTTGAGCGCAAGGGGCATAAGTCTTAGCAGTCTTAACATGTACGCCACCGCACGAGCGAAGCTTCTCGCACGCAGAATGCTCTATTCTCCGGCTGCAAAGCAGAGCGCAAGCGGGCCAAGGACGGATTTGCCCAGACACCGCCTTTCAACAATCGTTGGGATTGATCACCTGCTGGACCAGGAGTACATGAAGTGGCTCTTTGACCAGCTGGAAGGTCCAGTCTATGCCGCGCCCTGAGCATGCATCAGGAACGACGTGCAGCGCGACGCAGTGATGTTCATTAATGTCGGCGAATAGGTCCACGGGTGGGAAGATCGCGACGACATCACAGTTGTGGCAGCGTCCTGATTTGCTTCCCCCCTCAATGTGAGTTTCCACGCTAGCTTTCGGAATGCTCTAAGGACGTGCCGCAGGACTGCATCGGATACGTAACCGGCAACCGAAGAGCTGCACTGGGTGGCATCGAGGAGGACTGCCTGAAATGGGGTCCAAATTCCCGGTTTCGGGCTTGGGCGGAGTGGTCGAGACGATGTGACGGGGAGCCGGCGTATGCATCGTCTCTGTCAGGGCTTGAGTTCCTGCTCGAGCATTTTTTGTTTTGTTGAAACGTTTCAGGAGTGGGGTACCTTGATGTTCTTCATGAACAAGGCACGGACTCATTCAGCAGACTCTTCGATCTCTCTCGCCTTCGTGTCAGCCTTGCATAGCCTTGCCTTGCACCTCTAGACCCCTGGAGGATGGCGGTAGCACCAAGGGTCGAGGCGCGCCCAGGAAGAGCATCGTTTCGGTCTTCGAAGCAACTGCGGAGCAACTCGTTTCCGTTCGACATGGGAGCCGTTACAGTCGATTTTTGGATGCACAATTTTCGCCACTTCTGACCGTAGTTAGTAGTTGTCCATCTCTCTGTATCTATCTTTGCCTTTTATCTCTTCATCTCTCGCCCCCTACATCTATAAGCGCGCAGCGCGAGACATATGTACTAGTATGTATGTATGTATGTATGTATGATGCAGGGCTGCCACGCCCCCCTCCCCCCCAATCCCATGGTATCCTCCCCCTTCGCCCCCGGCCCCCCTGTGGTGTGGGGCCTGTGGTGGTACTCTTTTTGCCGCGACGTTCTTGTGTGTTATTCCTTGACTTCCCTCTTGTTGTGGCACCGGTGACACTGCTCATGATGTTGGTCTGCTCTAGACCGGGACATGAGTCGACAATCAGACCATGCTAAACATCATCCTTGTCGTCGTCATCTTCATCATTACTGCAATACCATCAAAAGAATATCTGCCACCATTACCATCGCCATACAACCCTCATAATTCAGCATTGCAATTCATGTTAGATGCTGGAAACTACTGCGCCGATTGCCGCCTTCCGCACACGGCAGGGCATAGTGCGACACCCCAATCCGCGCACTAGGTGAAGGGGCGGGCAGGCGCGGGCCGGGGGCGGGCCAGGGCGGGCGGGGCGGGCGGGCGTGCAGCAGCAGTGAGGGGATACTGTACCAATTGGGCGGCCCGTGACCCGAAAACATGTGTGTATGTATGTATGTATGTATGTATGATGCAGCGCCTGAGCCCCCCCTGCCCCCGCACCGCGGTGTCCCCCCCTTTGCACCGACCGCGGCGTGGTGCCTGTAGTTCGGTTTCTTTGTCTACCCCCTCGTGCCTGACTAGTCGCATGCTGCTCATGTTGCAAAGGCTGCCGAGCAGCTAGCAAACCTGCAGAGGTATGCTTGCAGTTGTTCGTTAGCAATAAGTATTGGCATCCTCAGGCAGCGTTTTGCCATTCCGTTGCCGATGGTGCTTTTTTCGCCGTCGCTGTGGTGTAGTCTTCGATGCACACGCGGATCATTGCATTCACACCCGTCGCCTCCTCCCCCTGTGGTTTGGGTTCTGCTCCAAGATGCGAAGTTGCCCTGCTTGTCGAAATCTTTCGAGCGTCAGGGGAAACGTGACACCAAAAGGCCGTTGTTCATCATGGTGACGATCCCATCTTCCGAAAAGGACAGTCACGAGGATCGTGGCGCCACCGGCCTGGATCCCGAGACCGGGGATCATGCCTGCCTGCCTGCCTGGCTGCCTGGCTGGCTGGCTGGCTGTCTGTCTGTCTGTCGGCATGCATGCGTGCGCGTGTGTATGTTCGTATAGCCGTGTGTGTGTGTGTGTGTATAAATAAATAAATAAATAAATATATATATATATATATATATATATATATAAAGACAGATATCTCTTGCATCCAACTGCTGAGCTGGTGCGTTCAGGCCGCGGCGGCTCAGAGCAGCTGGTCGGGGACTTAGCTCGGGCACCTTGGGATTGCGGAATCCTGAATGGGCCTGCACGGATTCCCGACCAATCTCCGAACTCAGAACTCTCCGACTGCATCTATCCATGAATCCGGCGCCAGCTCCATCTCCCAAGCCTTCTCAGGCGATCTTCGGTAGCGAGCGCTCGCGGCGTGGTGCTGAGCTCAAGGCCCTCCGCAGCCAGGAGTTGGAACAAGCCAGAGCGAGAGTGGGTTTCAGAGACCAAGCAAAGCAGGTTAAGCGGGATGCACCAGAGCATGCTTACGAGTAGAGCTTAGTTCGGGCTGTTAGGCTAGGAAGTTGCATGCGAATTTATTTCAGACGTGGCACAAGTTGCTCACCTCTAACACAAGCTTTGGTGTGACCGGATGCCCTGTGGCAGGTGATGAGTGCTGTGGAGACTAAAGCTCCTGGAACTTTCACTCGCGGCATCCGCGAGAAGTTCAGTGACGAGAAGGCTGGGTGCAGCAGGACATTGTCAGGTCCGTTGCAGTTGTTATTGTCGATATGCGATTGGGCCTTGGCGCAGGGCTTCTCCACAGACCGCATGATCTTCAGGGACGATGAGTTGAGCTATGCTTTAGGCCGCCATTCGCCATCCGGGAGCAAAGGGGGGAGGAGGATAGATCTCAGTCTGTATGTCAAGCCAGCTTCTGGGTAGGCTGTTGGTTGGCGATCACGCAGGGCAATCAGGCAACCAAGTAGGTCCGTAGGGATGCAGTGAGGAGGCAGGTATAAGAGAACAACTGCAGAGATATGCAGAGTATTCAGGGGATGAACACTGGCAGATGGAAACATGAGGATCGTCGGACACGTGATAACCCCATTCCTTGAATTGTCGTGTTGGCCAGGAAAGGAAGGCATGACCCTCAGGCGATGTGCTCGCGCATCAAGCCATAGACTCGTAGATGGGTTTGGCGGTCTGCGAAGGTCGTGCTAGGCTTCGCTTCTCTGCTGTCTTTTAAGTCCAGCTTCCGGCTTCACGCCCCGCGTAGAAACAAGTTTAGTGTCACTTCGCACTGGAAGTCGCCACGTATGGTGTGCATTGACAGCAGCCGATTCGATGTCAATTCCCAGGCTCCACCAGGAAGAAGTTGGCTCTAGCAGCCAATGCCAGCGCCCTGAGTGTCTAGTACGCCAAGGTTTCAGGTGGGTTCAGTTCTCGGTGGCTTGGCATGAGATCTGAATTGATGTGGGGTGCCGCCTTTGCATCGGTTTCAGTTTTGACTCGTAGTTCGGCCCTTGAAAGCTGAAAGCTAGGAGCGGTCGGAACTTCCTCTTGGCTTGAGGTACTCGTAGGGTGCTCGTGACCAGAGCCCGCTGCCTCATGGAGGCGAGCGATAGCAGATTTGTCTGAGCCGTGGAGCCATGGAGGACACCGAGGTATCCTTGCAGGAGCTTGGCGCCCAAACTGCCGCGGTGTCGTCATGCTGCGTCTTCTGCAAAGTACCGTTTAAGGACATGGTGTTGCGAGTAGGGCGCCGCTACGAGGTCAAGGTCCTTCACTGCCTTCATTCGGCATGTGGCAGATGTCTCGAAGAGATCCTCACCACAGGTCAGGAGGTTTTGTGCCCTGTGTGCGACCACCGGATCAAAGAGCAGGACTACCACAAGTACCTTTGCAACTTCGCAGAAAACCAGACTCTGGACTACAGGGCCGCGGGTTTCGCCTCCACGCCGTTGATCACCTGTGACGAATGCGTAGATGCATGTCCAGCCGTACAGTACTGTGCACGCTGCGTGCGGAGGCTATGTGCTGAGTGCGCGGAGCACCACCGACGTTCGAGAGCCTCGGCCTCCCACGTGCTGACGGAGTTGACAGCCATGGCGGAATTGGCAGAGGCACAGGCGAAGGAGGTCACGGCGCCGGAGGACTCCCAGCGCGCGACCTCGGCCCGCTCGTCGCCTTCGTCACTTTCCCTGCACCGCCTTCCCCTCTGTGCAATCCATCGACGGGAGTTGGAGTTCTTCTGTGAGGATTGCAGCATGATGTGCTGTCGTGAATGCATACGAGAATCGCACGAAACCCACGTCTACAAGCTCCCCTCGGGCAGTCTTGTGGAGAGGCAGCGGCAGGGGCTTTCCGAGAACGCGCAGCAGCTGCAGGGCCTCTTCTCATCGCTCCAGGAGCGGCGCAAGACTCTGTCAGAGAACCTGCACGGCTGCGAAGCTGAGTTGGCGAAGGCTTTACAGAACATCCGACACCTGGAAGTGCAGGTGAAGGAGGCTCTGCAGCAACGGCGGATTGAAATGCTGGATGAGGTGAAGGCATTTCGAGATCAGCAGAGGGAGTCCCACGAGGCACGTCGGGCCTCGCTGGCCTCGCAGCTGCTCACCAGGCGGGCTTATTGGCTTCTAGCGGATTCTAGCGAGTTCTATGAGTTCTAGCTTGGATCCATCTATTCCTTTTCTATGAGCCAATGTCGAAGGGTTTTCAAAGCCCAGGTGGCGAGCCATCGACTTCCTGGAGAAGGTCCTTGCGCGTGGCACGAACTGCGAGGTGCTGCTCCTAACGGGCCGCTTGGCCTGCTTTAACTTCGTTCGATGAAGCATTTCCTACTACGTGGTTTTGCCATAAGAAAGAAGGACCGCGAGGCATGTATATGTCATGTGCGATTACACGTGATCTTCATTGATCTTCACTGACAGGCTACATCTCGGCACAGCGGTTGCTGGGGCAAGACGTGCTGGCGTCGAAGGTAGCAGAGCTTGCACTCTGCGCCGCTCTGCGTCCCAAGCAGCTGCCTGTGAAGTGGTCCGGCGACGTGGCTGCAGCGGCGCATGAGATCTCGCAGATGGCGGCGGTTAGGACGCAAGGCCGTCATACCATTGAAGCGAGCCCGCTTCAAGTGGGAGAGCCACAAACGGAGGAAGTGTCGGAGCCAACTGAGGCAGCCGAGGCCTTCGAGAGTCACGAGCGGCAGATTGTTTCTCTGCAAGATGCAGTACCTGCTCCACCTGCTCCACAGCCCATCTGCTTATCTCAGGCTTTGGGGCCACGAAAAGCTGCAACTGTAACTGCCACGGAGCCGAGACAAAAATTGGTTCGCCGCCCAAAGAGCGACCAGGAAATCCGAGAATCGGGGCTTGGCGAGCTACGGGCGGTGCTGGGCCTGGAGGGTGATGCTTTAGGCTGCTTCCGTTCTCCTTGTGGTATGGCAGTGGACAGCTCACGCCTCTACGTGGCAGACACATTGAACCATCGGATTCAGATCTTTGACAAGTTCACCCTGGAGGCTCTGGGTGTTCTACGGCTGCCTAGCTCAGGAGACGGCCCATCCAGCCTGAGCGACCCCAGCGGGATGTGCTGTGTAGAAGTGAAGGGCATGACCATTCTTGTGGTAGTCGAATATACCCTCGACCGAGTGCTCCGAATTGAGTTAGGGCAATCGCCTCTAGCAGCAGCTGTCCGGGAGCTGGCACCAGGCACTTTCTACGGCCCGTTTGGAGCGGGAATCTCACAGGGCCGCGTTGTGATCGCCGACAGTTGCAATCACCGCTGCCTGGTTCTGACTCTCAACGGCCAAGTCCTCTTCGAGTTCGGAACACGCGGCCAGGGTAGAGGCCAGTTCGATTACCCCGAGTGCTTGGCCGCTTTCGCTGACGGTCACGTGGCTGTGAGTGACAAAGACAACCACCGCATCCAAGTCTTCGATGCCAACGGCAGCTTTCAGCATCTGATTCCCCGAGACTGGGCGCCCGAGTCCGAGGGCCATCTCGGGTCTGGGCGACTCCGTGCCGGAGCCTTAAGGGGGCCAATGGGCATGTGTGTGGATGCGCGCGACCGCCTCTTCGTGTGCGATTGCGGCAGCGACCGCGTACAGATCTTCAGCCGTCAAGGAGACTTCCTGTGGAGCTCCTGTTCTGCGACATGCATTTTCCGGTCACCGACAGCGATGGCGGCAGACGAGCAGAGCCTCTACGTGGCCTCGGACCATTGTGTACAGATCTTCTGAGCAATGAAACAGACGTGCAGAAACTGACCCAAGAGAATCGACCAAAGGAGCTGCAGTTTCGGGTTCATTCCGATCCTTTTTGATTCTGTTCTGGCTTATCCTTGGCTTATCGGCTTCTGGTTCTGACACAGCCTTGTGGCCGCATCGGAGTGATAGTCTTATGCTGGCTTCAGCATCCTGCTCTCTGGGTTTGGGGTCTTTCGGCCGTACGGCCTCTGTATAGTGTGACCGAAGGAAGGGCGCACACACACACAGATGATAGTTATACTGTTATACATTCTGCAGGCACCGAATCTCCTTGGTAAGGATGAGCTTCTCAGACACCTTCCGGAAAATGCTTCTTTTCGGAGTCTCTCAACACTTTCAACTGTCAACATTTCACCTCGCTAAATGATGCTAAATGCTGTACTCAACGTCGCAAAATCCCTGGAGCCCACGCGCGAATCGACACGAGCCCAACCACGAAACCCCAATGACCCCAGAATCTTAAGGCTGCCGCTCTCGAAACACTATCTCCAGCATGAATGAGCACGGATCTCGACGCTTTGAGCACCAGGTGATCTTGGAGTATGTTGGGCATGTGTGCTTCATGGCCGGGACATTGAAGGACTGCACCTGTGTTTGCAGTCTTGCAGAACCATCATCGACTTCGACCACTGACTGCAGGTTGGTTGTAGGCTTCGGCATTGCGTCCTCTGAACCTCGGGGTCGATTCGAATCGTGTCCATGTGGGGTAAAGTTCGGTCAAAGCTGCCTTCTTTTGCTTGCACGACGACGACGACGACATCCGAGACGAAGAGGACGACAGCGCGCATGACGAATACCGAAACTAGTAGTTTAAGTGGTGGTAGTAATGAAGCATAAGAAGAAGTAGTAGGAGCAGCAGTAGTAGCAGTAGTAGTAGCAGTAGTAATAGCAGTAGTAGTAGTAGTAGTAGTAGTAGTAGTAGTAGTAGTAGTAGTAGTAGTAGTAGTAGTAGTAGTAGTAGTGGTAGTGGTAGTAGTAGTAGTAGTAGTGGCAGCAGTAGTAGTAGTGGCAGCAGTCGTACTCGTACTTGCTACTACGCGTTACTACTACTACTACTACTACTACTACTACTACTACTACTACTACTACTACTACTACTACTACTCCTACTACTACTTGCGGGTTGACCTAATCCCCTCCTTGCTGCAGATGCGATTTGTTCGTTTGCCACTATTGCAAAGCCTGGAAGCACTAGTGAAATAGTGGCTCGCACGAGGGCGCAAGACAAATTTTCGATCAGCCCCACTTGCTACTTACTGCGTACTTCCTGCCGAAGGAGCGAAGGCGTGTCAAGCAGTTTATTGATTGGCTTCTGGCCCAGCGCCTGGTTCTGAGCTTCTGTGGACAAACCCTCTGCTTTATTGCAGAAACGAAATAGCTTCCTGCAAACATAATCAGTGGGGTACAGGCGGCCTTGGCATTGAAATTGGGAAGCTCTTGCTTTGGGATCTGCACGGAAGGGATAGAACTACTTGAAGCCCTTGAGAGTGGGCTGTGGCCGAGGCCGCGGAAGTGTCACGGTCAAGGATGTGTCAGACCGAGACGTCCGCGGCTGAACCATCACAGTTGCACCGTCTCGAGTGATTTTATCTGCGGTTCGCGGATATACAATGGCGGCAAGATGCGATCTCCCAGGATTAGCCTTTGAACGTCGCATTGTGCTACTGGTGTTGACCAGGACTGCACCGAAATGCATATCCCGGATAACTGCAAGGGCTGGGTCACTGGGTCCGGGTCTTGGGCAGAATGCAGCTTAATTCGTCAGATCAGAGCAGGCACGGGCAAGCAGCAGCGAAGTTTGTGATATCAGTTTGACCATTGTGCCTTGCTGTCCAGCCATCTCGGCTTCGGCACATGGTCGGCAGCGGAGAGAATAGCGTGACGCGTAGTAGGTAGTGACGCGTAGCGCGGTGAGGGATCGGCTGCCGAGCCATGGCTGCTACTTGGTTGCAATGCCCGGCTTTGGTAGGCGGACCTAGCAAGACTGAGAGGCTTGGAGGACCCGAATTTCCTTGCATGCGGCCTGCAGCGAATAGGGAACAACAACTGGCAGCTGAGGAGACATATGAAGTCTTCGGACAGATGAAGATGGGCCCGTGCCAAGCCCCTCCCCCGGAGTTGGAGGGCAAGACGGCGAGAATCAAATGCGCCGATGGAGAAGTCTTGGAAGCGCCGGCGGAGGCCCTCGCCTTGTCCTTCAGAGCGAAGAAGGATCTCCTTGAGAAAGGCTGTGATCAGGACTTCGAGGTCCCGCAACTGGGCTGCACTGGGCTGCATGTTCCTGCGAAGTTTCCAGCCACATTCTCCGATCCGGTTGGTGTAAGTCTCAGGTTGGGGAAGGGCGTGATGGTGAAGCTTATGGAGTACCTGAAACATCACACCACCAACGAGTACAGTGAGATTCGGACACCACTTGTCAGTGATCACCTAGTAGACTGCGGCGCTTCGCGCTGGGATGCGAGCTTTGCCAACGTGGACAAGGAGATGCTGTTTGACCTGACCGTTGCGGCCAGCTATCTTGACATCCCGGGCCTTTGGTTCCTCCTCAGCGCCAAAGCGGCTTTGATGACAACCAACAAGAGTGCAGACAAGCTCCGCAAGGAGTTCATGTTGACGAATGATTTTCCTGCAGCAGAAGAGAATGACCTTAGACGCAAGTCTGCTGCGGACATGTCCAGATTGGCTGCATCCTCTGTCATACGGAACGGTGTGAAGGCAGCAGAGTACAAGGCTGGCATCAAGCAGATTGAAGATGGCACATCGGCACCATCTGCGGTTGTGAATACATCTAGCTGGAGACAGGCCATGTGGAGAGCCGCCGTGTTGGATGACTGGAAGCTCTTGGAACATGCCCCGGAGCCAGTGAAGAATGACCGTGACCTGGTGAAGAGTGCGATCTTAACAAGCCAGGGAGCTGCCCTGAAGCTTGCTTCTCCAGAGATTCGGGCAGACGAAGCGCTAGTGCTCGAGGCCACAAAGTACTTCGGCACTGCCTTTGCGCATGCGGATCCGGAGCTGCGAAACAACAAGGATTTCCTTTTGAAGGCTTTGGGCGTTCATGGCGGTGCCATGACCGGAGCTCCCGATGCTGTGCGAAATGACAAGTCCTTCATGCTAGAGGCTGCCAAGGTTGGCAAGGGTGCGGCGCTGCAGGGGGCCACCATGGCTTTGAGAGACGACCGCAACTTGATCCTCGAGATGGCTGTGCACGATGCCGAGGCTTACAAGCATGCCTCAGAAGACTTGCTCAATGACAAGGACTTTGCAGTTGCAGTGGCCAAGCGCAATGGCAAGGCACTGAAGTTCATGATCCCTGCTTTCCGAGCAGACCCAGATGTGGTGCGGGCAGCCATCGCCAGAGATCCGCAAGCCGCGCAGTATGCTCATGCATCGAGACGCTCAGAGTTAGGCATGATCCAGGAGGGCGTGCTTGGGGAAGTCCAGATGCAAGCAGAGCTAGAAAGCCAGTTGAAGGCAGCACAGGAAGAGGCTGCAGCGACGTTGACGCTTGCCACCGTGGCTCCTCCTCGGCAGGTGCCTTTCCAAGCGCTTCCGGAAAGGCCTAAGTACACTTGTATGAGGCTTCAAAAGATGGTTGACTTCACTGCACAGAGTGTGATGACCGCGAACATGGGGCAGTCAAACTACATCGCTGCTAATTCATACTTAGACAGGATGCCAGGTCTCCGACGCCCTGAAATTGATGCGGTTGGCCTCATGTGGGGTGCAGTCGGAGGTATCGGAATGCGCTGGAAAGCCTTTGCCTCGGAGGATTTCCTGAATGCCACGCCCGAGCTCCTGCTCACCATCGAGGACTCCTGCAAGGTCTTGTGGGTTGCAGCCTGCACCCTCTTCCCGCCCGAATGGTTCAATGCATCCCACATGGCCGACCAACGTCCCTACTTCCTCACAAAAACCGCGGGTACTATACCGCTGGACATCTCGACCGACTCCGCGGCGGCCCAGGTCCAAGATGTAGAGGCAGACAGGCGAGCCCTCCAGGACTTGACCGACGTAGACCGACGTCCACTCCCTGGAAACAACTCGGCTCCATTGGGAGGCTGGCCCAGCCTCGTGTCGGCACACGAAGGTGCCAAAATCAGACTCACAGGGCTGCGTGCCAAGAACGGCATGACCGGCACACTGCTCCAGCGCTGCGACAACGGCGCTTGGAAGGTGCAGCTGGACGATGGCTCCAACAATGCTCTGCTGAGACCAAACAACTTCGAAGTGATCGAAGCTGCCAAGGTTGAGGCCTCGCAGAAGTTTCAAAGGCACTTCCCAGAGACGCAGGAGCTACAGGCCTACAACGCAGCAGCAGCGGCTGAGCGACAGTGTAAGATCGAGGAGAAGCGGTCCAAGCTGAAGGAGAAGATCGCAGCGAAGCGCCAGGCCATCCTCGCCTCAGCCGTGCAAGCGGCCTGAAGCTTGCAGTTGCATCTAGGTAGCTGGGCACAAGGCAGAGAGGCTGCCTGCTTCCTGCACGGACCCTTGAGGGGTCCCACTGCTGCAAGGCACAGCTGACATAGGTTCTTCCACCGAGGACTGAGCTCAGAATGACAGCTGCCAAAAATAGGATCCGATCTATCATGCGCAAGGCCCAACAAAGTCGGCATGTCACTAAGCCGTGTCACATCTTCGTGGCTGCAGAGGTATTCCATTTTTGCATGCGCATGCGAGCCATCTTGGCTTTGGCCCGTGATCCGGGGTCAGGTGCAGTATTTCAGTCAAAACTAGGACCAGATTCTCTGCAGACAGCCATGGCCGAAGCTTGACGTCGATTGGACACGGCTCCACTAAAACAATAGTATTTCGACCTGTGTTCGTGGCATCGGTGGTCTGTGTTAGTCGTAGCACGTTGCCGGAACGACGCGAGTTCAATGCCAGCATGTGACGGTCCACGTACAGACGCGCTAAGGAAACGTATGAAATCTTCGGGCAGATGAAGATGGGCCCGGGCACAGCATGCCCGGTGGAGCTCATGGGCAAAAAAGCAAAGCTGAAGTGCACTGAAGGTGATGTCTTCGAGCTACCGGCAGACGCAGTTGCTTTGGCATACAGGGCAAGGACCGACCTCCTTGACAAAGGCTGCGATGCAGAGCTTCAGTACCCGCACCTTTGCTGCAACAAGTGACCTGCCAAGGTGTGAAGGGATGCAGGCCCGCGCTGCGATGTTATGTTACATTGGCAAAGTGATTCATAGCACTGTTCTGAGGATCAAAAAGGCCGTCATGCTCAAGCTGGTGGAGTACCTCAAGCATCACAGAGAGCATGCATGCAGTGAGATTCGGACTCCTCTCATCAGTGACAACTTGGCCGAATGTGGTGCTACACGCTGGGATGCGAGCTTCGTGAATATGGACAAGGAGATGCTGTTTGATCTGACCGTCGCAGCCAGCTACCTTGACATCCCCGGTCTTTGGTTCCTCCTTAGCGCAAAGGCGGCGATCATCACCAATAAGAAAAGCGCAGACAAGCTCCGCAAGGAGTTCAGCATGGCGAACGATTTGCCAGCTGCAGAAGAGGCCGAGCTCAAGCGTGACATTGCAGCCTCTTTGCGCCTGGAGGGTGAGGTGGATCTCTCCCAGCTGGCGGCATCATCCGTTATCCGAAGTGGTGTGAAGGCAGCAGAGTACAAGGCCGGCATCAAGCAGCTAGAAGATGGCTTGGAGCCGCCATCCTCTGCAATCTCCAACTTGTCTAGTTGGCGACATGCCTTGTGGAGAGCTGCCGTGTTAGATGACTGGAAGCTCTTGCAAAACGCACCAGAGCAGGTGAAGAATGACCGCGACCTGGTGAAGAGTGCGATCTTAACAAGCCAAGGAGCTGCCCTGAAGCTTGCTTCTCCAGAGATGCGGGCAGACGAAGCACTAGTGCTCGAGGCCACAAAGTACTTCGGCACTGCCTTTGCAGATGCCGCTCCGGAGCTACGAAACAACAAGGATTTCCTTTTGAAGGCTTTGGGCGTCCATGGAGGTGCCATGACCGGAGCTCCCGATGCTGTGCGAAATGACAAGTCCTTCATGCTGGGTGCGGCAAAGGCTGGCAAGGGTGCGGCGCTGCAGGGGGCCACCATGGCTTTGAGAGACGACCGCAACTTGATCCTCGAGATGGCTGTGCACGATGCCGAGGCTTACAAGCATGCCTCAGAAGACTTGCTCAATGACAAGGACTTCGCAGTTGCGGTGGCTAAGCGCAATGGCAAGGCACTGAAGTTCATGATCCCTGCCTTCCGAGCAGACCCAGATGTGGTGCGAGCTGCCATCACCAGAGATCCGCAGGCCGCGCAGTATGCTCATGCGTCTAGGCGAGCAGAGCTGGGCATGATCCAGGATAGCATGCATGGAGAGGTCCAGCTGCAAGCGGAGCTGGAAAGCCAGAAGAAAGCAGCGCAGGAGGAGGCAGCATCGACCTTGGCGCTTGCCACGACGGCTGGCCCCCGTCAGGTTCCCATGCAGGCTCTTCCATCCAGACCTACATACACTTGCATGAAGCTCCAGAAGACGGTGCAGTTTACGGCAATGAGTACAATGACTGCGAATATGGGCCAGTCCAATTACATTGCAGCGAACAGTTACCTGGACAAGATTCCAGGGATGCAGAGGCCGGAAATCGATGCGGTTGGCCTCATGTGGGGTGCAGTCGGAGGCATCGGAATGCGCTTCAAGGCTTTTGCCTCGGAGGACGTCCTGAATGCTACTCCAGAGCTGTTGCTCACCATTCCCGACTCGTGCAAGGTGCTGTGCGCAGCATGTTGTACCATCAACCCGCCGGAGTGGTTCTCTGCATCGCACTTCGACAAGTTCAGCCGGGAGATGTACCTGACCCCCAGTGCAGGTCAGATCAAGCTCGAAGAGCAGACAACTGAAGTAGCTGCCCAGGCGCACTGGGAGAAACATCTTGAAGATGACCGCAAAGCTCTACAGGACATGGCCAGTGTCGACCGCCGCCCTGTTCCAGACAACTTTGCCTTGATCAAGGCTCCCGCCCAGCCCGCTCTGGCAAATGCGCCACTGGGGGGATGGCCTAGCCTTGTGTCCAGTCAGCCATCCAGCGGCGGCAGCGTGCCCCTGCAGAAGGGCACCAGGGTTCGCCTTACAGGCCTTCGTGCGAAGAATGGTGTTTGTGGGACTTTGGTGCAGCAGTACGGCGATGGCAAGTGGAAAGTGAAGCTAGATGACGGCTCGGGCAATGCCTTGCTACGCCCAGGCTTCTTCGAGCCATTCCTCGCATGAGATGCCCAAGTGAGCCGATCTAGGAAGCTACACATCTTCCTTTGTAGAAATTCTCACGTGGAACATTGGACTGCGCAGCGGAGGGCAGCAAAAACAAAACGAACCAGAGCTCCGGCTCAAAGATCAAAGATGCTCTCAAAGCAAGAACTGGTAGAGTGGGCCAGGATTCCTTGACACATTTGGAGGTCGTATGCTTGCTAAACTGAGGAACCGCGGGAGCGAGCTGCGTCGTGTGGAACAGGAGACTGGAACGCCTCGCGACTGCAAGTGCGGCCGAGCAGCGAGCAGCATGGCACGGTCCTTGGTCCTTGGTCCCTTTGATTCTGAGGTTTATGTTCATGGCCCTGGATTCCAGGGGCGAGGAGCATCTTGCATGGGAGCATGTGCATGGGAGTGCATGGGAGTGCAGGGCGCCACCAGTTCCCGGCTTCTCGGAAAGGAACCTGAAAAAAGCTTCGTTTGGATCCTCGCCTTGGTCCCAGGAGCGCCTGCTGATTTTTGGAGCCAATGCAGGCACGGGCTGGCATGGTTTTCCTGATGACCGGAGGCTATGCTGACTTGTTTGCCGGCCGTGCCAGAGCTGGAAATGCTGTGGGAGTCTCTGCCTGAAGACTCGACAGCCACAACTCCAACAAACAGTTGCTAGCCCAGGACCACTGAACCACATACATACTCATACCCACAGTCCATAGCCATCCGGCATGGTTTCACCAATGCCCACGATGCGGGCTGTCTCGTGGCACGGGCACGGGACAAACACCCGACGGGCAACACTTCCAAACCCCTGGTCAGGAAGCAAAGTTGAGAACGGCGGCCGGATGCATGCCGAACGCTTGGTCAACGATTTGGTGCAGGAGCCTCCCAGTCCGTCGACCGAGTGGGGGACTTGCATGCGTGGCAGAAGAATCAGAAGAGACTGCCTGGGTGTGTTTTTGGTAGACGCGTCCTTTGGGAGGAGAAGCTGCGCAACGACGAGCGTAACTGGGCAGCAAACAGTCCGAACCCTGCAGCCCTTGCAGCCTCAGCACAGATGACCCTGGCTGTGGCCATCAACCTGGAGATACCTCCAAGCATTTTTGGGAGGGAGATACGGACGGAAAGAAAGTCAGTCACTCTCCAATGTTGCTGTTTTGAGAGCACGTGTGGCACCGCAGCATGAACTGGTCTTCAGACAGGCGGGTTCTGTTCGCAGTTTGCATTCCAGGTCGTGGTGGGCGAGATAGCCGCAGCCGCAGTCGCAGGCAGACATTGGGAAGTCGGGGAAGAAGGGCAAAGAACCCGTGTCCTTTTTGACGGTGTGTGAAGATCCCCCCCCCCAAGATCGTCAGACAGTGTCAACTCTTTGCAGTTTCATCTTTGCAGTTCCAGCACAGTGCCATGATGTGGCCCCTGTGGCAGGTCGTCCCGACGCAGGCGCCGGGCTGTTGCAATGCCTCTGGCCGCATGGATGCGGAGGGAGAATGAAATCCTGCTCAGGTTAGCTACAATGTCAACTAGTAAACTCGCAGACCTATGTAAGGCCTTGGTATTTCAGGTACTGAATACAGCAGGTGACAGCGAGAGCTAGTGGCTGTGTGCTTTGGTGAGGCCCGCTTGTGGCAAACCCGTGACAAAAGAACGTTCAGGGTGTATTCTGTTCGCAGAGCCCCGGGGAAAACTCGAGGAACCCAGCCGCCAGCCCTTAGCCTTACAGCCCTTGCCACATCTTTGCGGCTGGTGACCGGGTGCTCCCGGAGCCCTTCGCCATGGCCTCCGAGTCCGAGCACTCCAAGCACATGTTCGAGAGCTTGACTCCTGGCTGCAGATGCAGTGAGGGCACTCCATGCGCCAAACTCATGCTTGCTCAGAGCTGTAGCGACACAGCCGAGGGCTTCTCGACCACTAGTTACTCCACAAAACCTTGCCCAGAATCACTGGGCCAAGTTGTGAATAGCCTCTTCCCAGGCAAGGGTGAACTCTCTGGAAGATCCGCTCAATCAAATTTCGAAGCAGCAGAGGAAAGATGGGCACTTGGATCACGTGCGTCGAGCAGCTCCCGGCTTCAATTTCCGCGAGGCGGGAGCCGGGAGATGCCGGGCGGATCAGAGCGCCCGAGCAGAGCGCCCGCCGAGTTCAAACAGGCGAGTGACAGGCCGACAGAACCAGAGAAACAGAGAACCGGCTGTGAGCTGGCACAGCTAAGCAGTGTGACTTAAATGCCGGAAGCTTCAGGCCAAAAGCGAGTGTGGCGGCGATAGGCAGGCAAGGAGGAGAGTAGCAAGAGCACTTCTTTCAGCTTTTGCGGCTCGCCGCATGCAAGAAGATTATCTGGGAGGGGAAAGTGGGGAAGTCGGTGCGCTTAGTTTCCCAGAGCGACCCATGTGCCGGAGACCTGACCCCTACGAGGAACGAAAGAAACAACGAAAGAAAGACCGGGAAAGGAGAGAGGTAAGGAGAGCGAGAGCGACGGAGAAAAGTCATCCGACTGTGCCCGCTGCAGAACCGTGCCAGATCGAGCCAGCTGGGGCGCAAGTGTGCGGGTGTTGCCAGGTGTTGCCGAGTGCAAGTTGGTTAGGCTTAGCACCCCCCCATCTCTCTCTCTCTCTCTCTCTCTCTCTCTCTCTCTCTCTCTCTCTCTCTCCTGCTGGTCTGTGCTTGCTGGCCTTCAAGCAAAAACAGCTGCTGTCTTTATGGAATGGGGCTGCTAGGGTTGGGTTTTCTGTTTGGACGGCAGCCATGCCATGCTGCACGGCGATGTCGTCAGTGCATGTGTTCTTCCTTCCTGCAGCTGTCTGAGCAGGTCGGGATTTACGGGACCCCTCTCATGGCGCTCATGGCAGTGGACATCTGGATACCTGATGAGTTGAACGAGGCAGGTCATCATGAGATGCGATGTATTTGCACACGGAGCTGCAGAGCCGACAGACTGATGGAGACAGAGGATGCAATACTCGTGCAGTGGAGATTGCCACGTATGTGCTAGAAGGTTCAGCCATGTTAAGCCAATTTGCTCCGATTTCAATGGACAGCAAGCTTTTGTTGTGACAAGTTGCCACAATCGGGGACTGAGTGGACGTAGCCCATTGGGGGCCCTGGCCGGGATGCTGGCATGAGAGAGCGAGAGAGAGAGAGCATGGAGCGAGGGCTTGACGCTTCTTTGGTCATTCAGCAGGTCAGTGCAACACTCGAAGACACTTGATGTTCCCATTCCGGCCAATTTGGCGGCTTGATATCAGGTGAGCTTCCAGCAACGAGTGGCGGCTGCACATTTCTGCATGTCAAATGGCGCAGTGCCCGTGGCAGCATCGACAAACGTGGGGACTTTCCTTGTTGACATTAATGCCTCCCCTAATATCAAACGGGAGCCCCCTCTTTCTAGTAGAAACACCCGAAATCCAGGGCCGCGGTTCAATATTATGTAGGAGGGAGGGGTTTCGGGCATCCGGGCATGGGTCAGTCAGATGGGGGCAACTACAGGGATAGTGTCTTAGTTCCAAAGCCTTTAGCTTTAAGCTACGTGAAGCCTGAAGCCCCTAAACCCTAAAGCCCGAAAGCCCTAAGCCCTTGTTTCACCCTCAAAGTGAGACCTCGAACCATGTGCCTCGCCTGATCCGTGCGAGTGTGAGCGCCGAAACCTTAAGCCCTAAGCCCCAAGCCCTGCTCGCCCTGGTTTGTGTGGATTCGAGAACTTAAAAACTCATACAACGACAGCCCTGGTTCCCCACTGGGATATGTTTACTTTTCTTTCAAGTGTGGGCCCGAAACCGTGGCTCGGGAAGTTTAAATATTAGGGAAGCTTTAGTATGAGGTGGAAGGGGTTACTATTTCAGACAAATTCGCATCCGTACCTAGGGAATTCGGGCGTCTCGTGGACCTTCGCACTAGGACATCATTTGTGGGTCCTCGTTGGCAGGACCCCCTGCAGCACGTTCCCTCGAACTGTTCCCACCAGCTTACATTCGGCGAGCGGAATGTTCCCTTCGCCAGCAACTCTGCCCGCTCCATTGTGAGCACTCTGCAAGCAATCTGGCAGAGCTTTTGTTGCACTCGGCAGCTGTTTTCGGCGGTTTCTTCTCCTTTCGAGAGCAGAACATGACGAGAATGTGCAAAGTTTGCCCCGCCAGGAGCATGGTGCCTCAAATTCTTATGGGGGCAGAGACGGAGGAGGACGCACAGGTCCTTCTCCAAGAGATGACGACCACGGGAGACCGTCTGCGGACTTTCGATCAGCTCTTCAGAGTGCCATCTCCGAGGGGTAACCCCCAGCTGCCTGTGGCATCTGATCAGCGGGGATTTTTTAGCAGGCGCTGGAGCGAGATCTTGAAGGATTACTCCACGGCCGATGTAGAAATTCTTGCGGTAACTGATGACGGGCTGAGTCTGAGACCAGATTTCAAGTCGCATTGCCACTCCTTCGTCCTCTGCAAGGCTTCACCTGTCTTTGCGCGGCTGCTTGAGGAAGATCCCTCGAGCCCCAAGCGCCTTGAGTTGGCCGCCACGGGCGCTGCGATCAAGGCCTTCCTGCACTTGATCTACACAGGCACACAGCACTTGAGGGAGAGAGTAGCGAAGACGTTTCTCGTACAGTAGTGATGGATCATCTTCTTTCAAGGCTAGGCGCAGCGGCACAGGGCCCTTCTGGTCAAGATACCCTCCCGCACTTAGAGAAAATGTAGAATGGGCCGGGGGCGCATCAATGCAAGACGCGCTTGTATCCCCAATTACCACTTTCCACTGTGGCAGTCACAAGCTTCTAGTATTTACACGTCGTCAGTTTCTGAGCTGAACCTCGCACTCGCCTACCGAGCACTGCATTGGTGGTACGAGGAGATTGATGGAGCAAGCTAACCATGGAATAAATTACCACTTTCCGTGTCCAGCACAGGTTACACGGGGGTCTTTCGTTTCTTTGCGTGTACGAAGTAGTTGCAGAATGTGGACCCAAACGTGGGATCCTCAAAGCAGCTCTTTCATGTGTGTCGGGGCAAGGGGGGCGGGAAGTTCATGCTGGATTTCGTCTCGGAAGTGAAGATCTGTGTCCGTGTCCGAGGCAGCTTCGAGGGCTCGACTTGGCCGGACGTTCCGTTGGTCGTCGCGGTGGCGCGCTTGGCCGCGGAGTCGCAGACCTGGTTCGTCCTGCCGGCGCTGGTGCAGCATATGCGCTGCAACCTCTCGGAGTTTACCTTCTGCCCCATCTGCAACTTGCTTCAACCTGGTCTAATTAGGACTCAGACTCAGGACTGATGAAAGCAGCTGTTTTGGTGAACGTGCGGAGCTAAGGCAAGTTTGCCCTAGACTTCCGGCAAGACAGCTTGCTGAGTGCTTGCCAGCACTTTGTCAGAACCTACGAGTCCAGGGTCGCTCAGAGCGAGTGGGTATCCTGGTCATCCTACCTGTCGGATCATGCGACGCAAGATGTGCAACAGTTGGTCTACCAGGCCTTGCATGGTGGCCACCGCGACTGTCGTGTGACTTTGTAGGGTTTTGAGCACAGTGCAGACATGCTCCGCTCCGCCCCGCTCCGCCTCGTGCTCATCGGACCGATCTTGGCCCAAAGTCGGCCAGCAGCCAGCGACTTCGGAGAAAAAGTCTCGTTGCTGACAGCACAAAACACGAGCACTCCCTCAGCGAGTTCTGATCGACAGGTCGCCCTCCCGACGACGGGACAGCCGCAGCAGGCTGCGGGCTGCCGAACTGCTATGTTCCGCTAGTCACGCACTTCCCAATGATCTTCCGGAGATGCTACTGGCTAGGGCCCAGGGCGGTCTTGCGAGTCTTCGTTTCAAGTCCGTCTTGGGCAAGTCGATTGCCGCAGGAGTCGTCGTCGATGAAGCCAGCTCCTTGGACCCGGACGAATGAGACCGGCTGCCGTTTGCTTCGCATGTCGGTGCGGATAGCGCAGTGGCTCCATGCACGTATCTTCACTTGACAGTCCGCTCCATATCTGCGTGCAGCCGTCTGTTGGCTCGAATGTTAGCAGCCGGACTTGCAGATGCTCCTTATCTGAAACAGAATTTTACCGTTGTGACTGTTTGCTGCGGCAGCCGGCAGTGCAGATGCAGATGCCGACGCCTCAGCCTGCCGCAAGGTCCGGTTTCGATTATGCAAAATGGGACCGTTTAGAAATCAGTGACGATGAGGCTGGCATTTTCTTGTCGGCAACTGGAGTCTGGGTCCATGGTTTTTTTTTTCCTAGGTCTGGCCTGGTCTGGGGGGCCTTGCTAGGTCTGGTCCCTGGTCCCCTGGTCCTTTGGTCGTCCCCTGGTCCCTGGTTCCCTGGTCCCCTGGTCTCTCCTGGTCCTGTACCCCTGAACCCTCAAACCTGCAAACAACTAACAACAAACAACTAAATAACTAACACAACAAACAACAAACAACTAACAATAAACAAGAAAGAACAAACAACAAATCAAGAAAGGGATAGGGGTTTAAAAAATTAAGTAAGGATCAAAAAAAATTAAATAAGGATCAAAAAAAAATAAATAAGGATCAAAAAAATTAAACGGGTATCCGCGAAAGGAAGGGGAAAAAGGAAGGAAAGAAAGACAGAGAGAGAGAGAAGGAAAGAAAGAACGAAAGAAAGAAAGAAAGGAAGGCAGAAAGAAAGCAAGGAAGAAAGACAGAAAGAACGAAAGAAATAACGAAAAAAAAATAGAAAACAACGAAAGAAAGAAATAAAGAAATAAAGAACAAAAGAAAGAAAGAAAGAAAGAAAGAAATAAAGAAATAAAGAAAGAAAGCCATGCAAGAAATAGTGAACTAAGTAAATAAAGCAAGCTATAAGGACAGAAAAAAGAAAACACAAGGAAAGAACCAAAGAGAGTTAGAAACAAAAACAAAACAAACAATGAAGAAATAACCAAAGAACAAAAACAGAGAAATAACGAAAGACGGAAGGCCATAAATTAAGAAAGAAAAACAGAAATAGTTAAAAGAACAAGAAAGACGCGGAAAATAAAGAAGAACGATACGTAAGACTATCGCTTCATTGTGCTTTAAAAATTCAAGAATTGCTGTATCTAAAAAGCAAGAAAGAAAGACAGAAATAAAGAAAGAACGAGAGAGAGAACGAAAGAACCAAAGCAAAAACAAGAGGAAGAACGAAAGCAAGAACTAAAGAAACAAACTTAAGGAAATACCACGGAATCCGTAGGAAAATCGTGTTTTCCCGAGCAAAAACCAAGCAAATCCTCAGGAAATGAAAACGAATCCGTATGAAAACAGTGTTTCCCCCTGGGAAAAATTCAAAAATTGCTGTATCTAAAGAGGACGAAAGAAAGGAAAACAGAAAGAAAGAAAGATAGAACGAGAGAGCGAACGAAAGAACGAAAGCAAAAACGAAAGAAAGAACGAAAGCAAGAACGAAAGAAAGAACGAGCCAAAGAAAGAACGAAATAAATCAAACCAGAAAGAAAGCAAGAAAGAAAGGAAGGGAGTATGAGATGAACAAAGAAAGAACAACAGAAAGAAAGAACAGAAATGAACGAGCGAAAGAAAGAAAGTCCAGAATAAAAAAAGCAAAGTTGGAAAAGACGAAAGAGAAAGAATATGAAATAATCACAGAAACAAAGATACAAGCAACAGGATACTACATAGCCCAATCGAATTTACCATAATATCGTAATGTACCGTAACATAATATAACATAATGGAACCTAATGTTATAAAATATACTACATATTATGTTTTAAATATACACACTGTATTGTACTATGTTACAATGTACTACACTATAAACTAAGATGTTGTTTTGTTCTATGTCATCTTCCGTTATATTGTATTGTTGTATTTTTAGTATGCTGTTATATGCTATAAGAAGCAAGGTTCTGTTATGTCAGAAAATGTCACACCATTTTTGTGTTGTCGAACCATCTTATGTCGTTCTTCTGGTTTACTATGTTATATATATATATATATATATATTAGGTTAGAATGCTAACGGAAGAAGAGACACGAACAGGCACGGAAGAACAAAACACCCGCCGCCGCGCTTTTCGAGACGTGCAAGCTTGATTCAAAGAGTGTTTTCGAAGCCCATCATGTGAACGTTGTCTCTGCAAATGGGGGGGGCTGCGCCCCCCCCAACCCCCCCGCTGTTTTAAGCCGTGCAGGGTTGCTTTGAAGCATATGCCTTTTTTTGAAACCCAGCAAATGAGGGCGTCTCCGCCCTTGTAGATACATGCTGAACCAGAATCGCCAAATGAGAGGCGTGTTTAAGATAGATGATGAAGCGGAATACCAGCAACAGCTACAACAGGAAATCCGTCCTAAATGTGAAATTGTAAGAAAAATTTGATTTTCCCGAGGAACAACCATATGTTGTCCTTCTGAAAACCTGAAGAAATGACACGAACGCCATAGGTAAGAGGAAAATAGGCTTTTCCTACGAAAAATCAAGGAAAACTTAGGGAAATACCACGGAATCCGCAGGAATATCGTGTTTTCCAGAGGAAAAACCAAACAGATCCTAAGGAAACAAAAGAAAATCCCTAGGAAAACAGTGTTTTCCCTTGGAAAAATTCAGGAATTGCTGTATTTTAAGTGATTTAATTTTTTTTGATCCTTATTTTATTTTGTTTTGATGCCTCTGCCCCAGGAATTGCTGTATTTTGAGCGATTTATTTTTTTGATCCTTATTTTAATTTTTTGATCTTTCCATTTAATTTTTTTTGATCCTTATTTAACTTTTTTTGATCCACAATTAACAAGAAACAACTAACAACTCACAACTCACAAATAACAACCAACGACTGACAACTAACAGCTAACACCAACAACTAACAACTAGCAACGAACAACTAACACTTAACAACTAGCAACTAGCAACTAGCAACTAACTACTAACAACTAAACAACTAACACAACTAGCAACTAACACAACTAGCAACAAGCAACAAGCAACACACAACAAACAACAACAACACCACCACCACCAACAACAACAGCAACAACAACAACAACAACAACAACAGCAACAGCCACAACCACAACCACCACGACAACCACAACAACAACAGCAACAACAACAAGAACACCAGCAACAGCAACAACAACAACAATAACAACTACCACGACTGCAACGACGAGGACGATGACGACGACGATGACGAGGATGTCGACAACGACACCAAAAAACAACGACACAAGACAGAAGATTTGAAATTGTAATCCCGCAAAACACGACCCTGCAAATTGTAGTGCTCCAATAGCTTCATGCAAGACACAAGCAAAACCAGACCCTGCGAATGCTAGTTCCTCATTAGCTTGATGGAAACCACAAACAATAAAAGACTCTGCAAATTGTAGTTCCCCAATAGCTTGATGCAAAACACAAACAAAGCCGACCCCGCAAATTGTAGTTCCCCCATTAGCTTGATGCAAAACACAAGCAGAAGAACACACCGCAAATTGTAGTTCCCTACTAGCTTCATGCAAAACACAAGCAGAAGAACACACCGCAAAATGTAGTTCCCAAATAGCTTGAAGCAGAACACAAGCAGAAGAAGACCCTGCGAATTGTAGTTCCCCAATAGCTTGATGCAAAACACAAGCAACACCGATCCCTGCAAATGCGAACTCCCCAATAGCTTCATGCAAAACACAAAGAAAACCGAACCCTGCAACTTGTGGTTCCTGCAGCTTCATGCTAAACACCAGCAAAATCAGACTCCGCAAGTTGTAGTTCCCCAATAGCTTCATGCAAAACATTCTAGTTCCCCAATAGCTTGATGCAGCAAAGACCGCAGTTGCCGCTGTTGGCAACCACAACCAGTGGGCCAGACTTAGGAAAGCAAGCCGGGGAGGGCCAGACCTAGGAAAAAAAAAAACCGCTCCGCCCTGGAGTCTTCGTGCCTATACCTTGCCTTGCCAGACTACGTTCCACCCCAATCTGGACAAGGGCCTCAATATTCGCGTGAATCGCATCACGCGCGAAAGGAAGGAAGATGAAATCGATGAGGATGCTCGGTCGCAAATGGGATCTATTCAGAGAGAGAGACAGAGAGAGAGAGAGACAGAGGCTCTCTCTCTTGCTCAAGACCTCCAAAGCACAGCACAAAGACTACGAAGAGGAAAACACCCTCAAGTCTTCGTGGTCGTCAAGCTCGAGCTGGAGTACAAACCCACCGGACAGTCCAAAGGTACCCGGGAGGATGGAATGCCGACAGGGCACCCTCTCCAAAAGTTGGCACGATGCACCGGCCATAAGGAGTCCGACGATGCCTTCTGGGACATCATGGATTGGCAAAGCAGGAGAAGGCTTCGAAGCAATACAAAGAGCCACAGGGGGACCCGCAAAGGAGCGACACGAGCCGTACCGAGGCATGCAAGCCGGCGAACCAGATGCAAGCTCGTCCTCCAGAGGAGGTGGAGAGCTGGTGCAGGAACAACCTGCTTGGGTACCTGGAGACACACGGCCGGCGGGGCCAGCTGCAGCACCGCGCACGGAGCGGCGAGGCACCAAACCAGATGGGGGACTCGCCCACAGGCCGCAATCCGGATGGACAAGCGGACACAGCGACGACGTGAAAAATGAGCACCAACTGTATGGCAGGGACACGTGGCTACAATGTTCGGACCAGTACATGTTCGTACACCTCTGCAACCACACCGCGAGGCCCCGGAGCCGTGAACAACCCTATTGTCGCTGACGACAAAGTGGAAGATGCGTCTCTCTGAAGCCACATAACTTCCTATCACTCCGAGCCGCTTTAAACCTGTGGGTACAGCACGTCGAAGATGAAAAGTTTGCCACCCCTCAAGTTACAGACCCAAATTAGAAGCCCATTCACATAAGCATAAACATTTTATGTGGGCATGCTTACCTTATTGGGCTGCATTGCAGGGGGGTTTATATATGGGATATCAGTATACTAATGTTTGCTATTATGTGCTTCTTTAGGGCCCTATAAACGTCCGCCTTGCTGTCCGCAGTGCAGGTTGTCTCTTTTCGAAGCAGCACCTCAACAGCCTTAAAGCCGGTGGCCATGCCATGCATGCTAGCCGACGTCAGAAACTACCGGTTAGTGGCAGTGTTTAGCGATAGGATGATTCTCGGGCACCCGCATGCGTGTTCGATAGACAGCTCAACAAGCAGTTTGCGGAGAACGAAACTAAGTGGAACGCATTCGTTGTGGCGGCTGGCATACGGGTGTTGCATTCAAAGCTGAGGAAATCAAGAAGCTCACAGACAAGGGTGATCTTGAGAAGCTTGTATTTAAGTGGGTGGTGTGCGAGATTTGTGCAGACCTTGCTTTCACGGGCAGCCGCTTTTCTTGCGACGGGGGCAGTGCCCCGCGGAAGGAAGGCTGCCAAGCTGGAAGGCCGCCGCCCATTGCACGTCGACAACGTGTGCCGCGTCGCTGAGGAGAACGTGGACAGACGCCTGATCACACGACCAGTGACACGGCAACGCTGCATTGTGGATCATCCTTGGCTTACAAACAGGGCAATAAAACAATGCTGTCGCAGTATGCAGTCATACATGCAGTGGAGGAGCGCACCATCATCCAGTCTGGCGACGGTTCCAAGAAAGATCGGCTTAAGAAAGGGGAAGAGTTCAGCGTGGATGAGTCCTGGGCTTGGCACAGGGAGGAGATGACCGCTTCCTTCTGGTGCTTCGCTCGACCAACCCTGTCAGGTATACCATGTTCAAACAAGACAACCAGAGCCGCTAGACTCCGCTAGACATTGACAGCGTCGATGTAATCCTGGCTTTCACGCATGATTGAACCACGGATGTCAGGACTTCTCGACAAATTTGCAGAAGCCGACTGGGAGACTTCAGAGGCAAGGGCTCGTTCTTGTCATGCCTGGGGCCAGAGCGAGGGTGGGTCCTTGACTACGGTCATTGAAGCATGGATCTTGCCTGGCAGGGGCTTCTGAAAGAGTATGGGCACATCCTTATGGAGAGTTACGCCGCATCGCCGCAGATGATTGTCATGACATACTGTATCCGGTTGTGAGTTCAAGAGGCAGCTCTGCTGAGATCGTCTTGCAGACGAAAGGTTTCATATCACGTTAAAGCACGGAGCTCCACTACATCTTCCGGGATCGAAGCTACGAGTTTTGTCACGAAGTACTGGTCAGATCCAATTGCATGCCCAGGCAAACAACTACTTCATGCTGGAAGCCTTGGATGCCGAGATGCGTGGGGAAAGGCACGGAAGAGGGGTAGCTGGGGCTGTGTCTTCTCAGCACGGAATGCTTGTAATCGCGATGTTCCTTTCTGCAATTCAGGTCTCTTATGCTGAAACTGGGGCGTCAGGGTCAGATGCTTAGCAGCAAATTGGGGGTAAGCAGCTTGTCCGTAAGGCAGCACAGCCGGCAAATGCTTGAAACGTTTGACAAGCGTCCAGCTTGCATCCTGTGGCTAGTTTCGTGCTAGTCTGTGTCAGACCAAGGGTAGCAAGTGGTGGACAGTAGGACTAAAGGGCATGAGTGAAGCCGGGACATGAGCCCCATCCAGCTTTGAAGCGGAGCAGTTTGTGCTTTCTACGACTCCGTGGTGGTGAATCGGATCTGAGTTTCTATTTTTCTGTACATGCTACACATCTCACAAACTGACGAATTCATACGTGCTGTGTGTATCCCCTCATTGTTATTGCTGTTAGTGAAGACAAACTATAACAATGCAGTTGACATCTTTTTGTACAGTTATCGATATGTGGCCTACGTTGCCTTGGGTCCCTAGATACCGTAAGACACAGAAGAGGTGTTGTTCCGACGTTCTGGCGGTCAAAGGGTAGATGAACGTATTGCTGCATGTTGCCGTGATTTTTCTCCTTGCTGTATCTCTGTGCAATCTGTTGCTATACAGTGCGTTGCTGCCGTTTCGCTACGTAGCAGTCCTTGGGTTCGTGTTTATGTTCTTCTGAACTCCTGTGAGCTAATCTATGGGTACCTCTTGGTATGTACGGAGAACAAGTTCCAGCAAGGTTGGCTGACAGAGGGCTTGAATAGAAGAATAGACAAGAACCAGAAGAGAAAGCATGCTGCAATGAGAGGAACCGGGTGCGTCCGGGGTGCCCCCTGAAGTCCCAGGATCCTCTCGCAAATTCATCAACTGGCTGAGCCCATGAAGCGACCACCTCGAGACTTGGTGCCTCGCTTCTTCGAGCGCTTCGCAACTCGACGAAAGCAGCGCAGGCATCGGCTTCCTGTGGGCCAGAATGGGACCAGGACTAGAACACCCCTTCGAACACAGATGCTGGCACTTAAGACGAAGTCAGTGTGCTTCAGGATGCCCAAGGTGGAAATTGCCGTGTTTGTCGTGAGCCAGAGAGTTGTTAGCAAGGTGCAGATTGTCGTATGCATGTATGCATCTGAACGCATGTGCACATGCAGACGGGGTATCCTGTCGGACCAGCTGTTTGTTCGGCTCTCTGCCTAGCTGTCTTGATGGCATGCGACACCCTGAACCGACCAGGTACAGCATACGGGTAGATTCAAGTAAACAAGGTGCCAATCGGCACGCGTTTTCGCAAGCATGCTTACAGTAGAGGCTTAGGCTAGTGTGCTTGCTCTCTCTCTCTCTCTCTTTCTCTTTCTCCCTCTCAAGCCCACCCGCTGGGCTCTTGTTTGGCAGTGTCGGTGCATGTTGGGGCTCTGTTGTTGGGGGTGCCAGTTGTTGGGTTCGACGTGCACGCTATACTCTCAGGGGCCTGCGTAAGCAAATTACATATGGCGACCAGGAATTGGGACCCCTGCATAGCAGAAGAACGTGGGAGAAGCCTGAAGAGCCGCCGTGCGTGCGCGTGTTCCGTTAGGGAGGATCGGTTCTGTGACATGCTGGCGATCTCAGGAGCACGAGACTTCGCGGGCTGCATTCGAAGAAGGGGCACCTTGGACTTGGACTGGACGGGCCCTGTGAGTGTAAGAACCCCATCGAAGCTTCCAGGTGAGCCATTTCACTGCAAACATCATCTAAAGAGCGGTGGTCAAGAAGGAGGAGAGCAATTCCGACATGTCATGCGGGTCTGCCGATAGCCAGTCTCCACGAGTCTGCAGTGTTGCGGATGTATTGCTTGGGGCGGCGGTGCGTTCACCATATTGACCAACGAGTGGCACCGGTAGGCATCTTGGATTCTTGCATCTTGGGGCAACCAAGTGATACCAGAACCCCGGACATTCGTTGATGCGGGAGACTACTGGACTAAGCTTGACTAGACTCGGCCAAACCCGGCCCTGGCAAGGAGGAAGCGGCCAAGAAGCAAGCGGAGGCTGAGACTGAAGGTCTGGAGGTGGGTGGCCTTGGGCTCGTGGAGTTACAGCTCGCCCCGAGACTATCTTGGGTAGGAGATAAGGATATGGCCAACGAAAGCCAACTACAAGCAAGAGGCAAGAAGTTCACACCATATTAAGTAACACCCCCCCCCCTCATGGATGTGAGCCCCAGCCTCCGTAATATGATCCGGATCGGACGCACCACTAACTTCAGAAGCTTGGTAAGAGTCCAGAAGCCAGACGTGTCACAAGCCTGCTTTCAGCCCCGGAGAACCCCAGGAGCCTCAAAGCCTTTTTAGCTCCTTTGAGCCTTCATCATATAAGCAAGATTCTGCTTACCTTTGTTTCCGCTCAGGCCGCTTGGATTCTGCAAACACGGGGGGGGGGGGTTCTAACTACCTTCTGGGAAATGGATTTTGCAATGACAGAGGGCATTCTAAATATAAGGTTGATATCAGGCTTAGGTCTGAGGGGTTTTGCACCCATGGTGTTCTTGAGATCCAGACAGGCAGGACTGCAGGAAGGAGTGCTGAAACTAAGCACAGGCAGGAAGGAAGGTAAGAGGAGAACGAAGAAGACACAGGATAGCTAGACTTGAAAGAGGGACGTGTCTCAAGCGAAGCCGAACTGTACTGTTTTGGAGCGGCCCCTCTCGAGAAGAGGTGTCTCGTTTGGGACTCAAGCGGCCCAAATCATCCAGTCGAATCGTGGAGGCTGCAACGAGCAACAAAAATCTTCGACCTTTCATGAACAACTTCTTGAACTGTTGCTGCAGGTACTATTGAACCAAGGGACCTAGGTTGCCGTCCTGACGCAGAGTGTCCCACACGTTTAGTCATGGCCGTTACGGAGTTCGTCAACATTCCAGAAAGGGCTGTTGACTTGATAGACAGGCCAAGCCACTGGTGGAGGCAATGCACGACATGCCAAAGGCCGCCGGGATTCAAGATGAATTATGTGTTTGATGGTGGCTTGATTCGACAAGTGATGACTGACGTCCACGATGACCTTCACATGTATTTCTTCCGCTGTCAAGCTTCAAAATGCTCGGAGCTGACGGCATTGGGAAGTTTGGGGCATGCCATTGCATCCCCTCCAAGGCGTTATCCCATAGGAGTCATACCAACTTCACGTGCATCATACCGGTATAATCTGGGCAGCGCTGAAGTCTCTCTCTGGAAGCCTCAGCTCAAAAAAGCATTATTGCACAAGCATTTGGCTCAAGCTCCTGGATCCCTGGACCCTCGCGAGTCGACTGAGAGAAATGACCATCCGGGCCGCGTCTCGCTTGCGCTGCCGCTTTTCCGAGCTGATGGCTCATGTGAGTTTGACTGCGTCGGAGACGAAAAGTGTGATGCTGGTGAAAGCAGCGGGTGTCCCACTCGGCTTCACAGTCTGCTACAACCCACAAGCCTTGGTGGTCACTTCTGTGCTGCCGGATTCCGCTGTGGAACAGTGGAACCTCCGCAACCCCAATGATCAAAGCGTCCGGGGCTCCCGGATCAAGAGCGTCAATGCATTCGGGGGATGAACGGTGAGCTGCAAAAGGCCGCAGATGCCAGTGCAGTCTTCTTCGAGGTGTTCCGGGAGCCCTATCAAGGCCTCTTGGAGCAGATGACTTCCGCCCTGAAGCCCATAGAGACGCTCTCGCCTGAGTCCGTGGAGTCTTTGCACTGTCGCCCTGCAAGAGGCTGCGAAGATGACTGCGCAATCTGCCTTGGCGAACTGAAGTCAGGCGAGCAGGTTACCGAGTTGGCCTGTGGTCATGTCTACCACCGGAAGTGCATAGGCACTTGGCTCACGAAGTGCTCGAAGTGCTGCCCACTCTGCATGCAACCTGCGCAGAGCTGCGATGCCCCTGCGCCTGTGACGCAGAATCTGTGCACGGGCCAATGCCGGTTGTGCATCGCCATGAAGAGACACAGCGGCCCGAGCGCCGACATTGCATTTCGCTGTAAGCGTTACTGCGTTCCCCGCAACTAAGCGGGGCTTTGCTTTCGACCTGGGTGGAATTCTTGGGCAGCTATGTACGCACATCAGCGTTCGAGTGGCACTGAAAATCTATGTCGACGGCCGAGGGACCATCCTTAGGCATTAGGCATTTGCCATTATCATATACCCCAAGCTTATCTAACCCAGGATGTGATCTTGCAATAAATGGGCTTCATTGTTGTAGCGAGACTGCAAGAGATATTGCCAGTAGTCGACTCTTTGTGTCTCTGTCGTTGTGAGTGCTGGACAGACTCATGGATGTCTTCGTAAACTGTCTCCACTCTAGACATCACACTCAAAGTGGCGTGGAGGCACAACGCTTTTTCGACCGTCCTGGCCACGTACAGCCGGACGCGTGCAATCCCGTTGCCGAGGTTAGGGAGCAAGCATGCTCCCTGCTGCTAAGTGCAAGGCGTATATAGACTCGACATCCAGCACCCCGGAGCACCGCATGCACTGCTGGCTGACTGCGAATCCGGAGAATCCGATAAGAGGTCCTCGGACTTCCGGGCACCAGCAACTGCTGAAGTCGGTTTGGGGATATATGGTCTGTCTGCAGTGTGTCGACACACTATGTCCTACGCAGTAAAATCACCATGACATCGTCTGGTTCATACGCAGTCGAACAATGATTCGGATGCCACATGCTGCTGCTGACCCGTTGCTAGATTCATAGGGGCTCCTGAAGTCTGGGTATGCTGTGGAGTTTATCACAGAACCCTCTTCGGGGGCAGAGATGTATAGTTCTGCCGGTGAGATCTTCGCCGAAGAAATCTTTATCCACCCTATATCGCCCGATGCTCACATGCACTGCAGGCCACACGCGTTACAAGCAGGGCGCCAGAAGCTTTGTCCTCTGCGTCCTGCGGTCGAGCAAATTTAGTGTCCTAGCAGATGACATGCTGGGCAATCGTGCGAGGTTTTCGTTTCTCTTTCTTCGAACGTTGAGCCTGGAGACTCTCAGAACTGCGGCTTTCCCAATTCAATCTAGAATCTACAAATAACGTTCTTCTAGATCAGGTCTATTGCAGAGACTTTCGGGCTTCTCGGATCACCAAGATCCAAGATCCTATGGACACAAGCCTCATGCCTTTCAAGATGTGTCCGCGCGACTAGGAAACCTGCTCGTGCAAACCCGTGTGAACCCTCGCAGCAGGAACGTGCCTGGGAGGATCGGCCATCGCAGATGAAACAGTTTGTACATAGTTTTTGGTATATTTTCTCAAAGCCCCACACAAATCTCCACACATAGTGACCGTATCGGCCCACAGTTACCTTTAAAACATTGGCTTTCTTCTGCCAGGCAGTTCAAAACGCCGGGGTGTGCAATACTCATCCGCTTTTCTTTCGATATCGCGCATGCACACACAGAGAGTGTTGCCAAAAATCATGAGCTGTAAAGGGCTTCAATGAAACATTAGTCGTAGCCAAGTCCACGATGTCGCACAAGATGCTGTCTTGGCTTTGGCAACTTCGCATGTGGCAGGCAAATTAGTATTTGCTTCGGGCTGTCACGGGAGCGATGCATTGAGGGTCAGTCTTCAAGATTGCAGACGAGAATATTTTCCTTTTTTGACCTGTGCAGCCAGAAGTGTGGCGAACTTGGTGGAGCAGACACCGAGCCCGGCAGGGCGAAGCGCCAAACCCAGAAGACTCTCCAGCACTACTCCTAGGTCTTATGGCTCTGATGATGCACAGCCGTGCAGTTCCCCCTGAGCTAATCGCTCATCACCCCAGCATCCCGAAATCTCCGTGCATCAGAGCCGATGTTCTGGTGTTGTTTGTTAAGCAGCGACGACCCATGCTGTGGAGCAAACAAACCGCCGGTCGCCGGACGACAGGGTTTTCGGGTTTGTGGAAAAGTTTGGCGGCGCTAGGTTTCTGACGACTGGTGAGACGGTAATGGTGAAGCCTGGGAGAGGAAGGGTGCGCTTGCTCGGCAGTGCTGATAGTGACGGAAGGATGGCATAGCCTGGTTTTCCAAGAAGCCTGCACATACCTACACAGTAGAAGGCAACCTGTCGGCAGGGATGTAGGGATTGGTCCGTTCCCGTCCCAAGTGGTTTGCACTTGCTCTCGAAAATCCTGCAGCGTGCGAGACCTCGTGTCAAGACGAAGATTGAAAATGCAAAGCCGGAACATCGATGACACGCTGACCCCGAGCTCCCAAGCTCCCATAGGCTCCCCGACACGGCGCAAATCAGGAAGATCGCCTGGGTCCGGGTGGCCTGGACCCCGTCGAGGTCTTCGAAGCACTCCCCGAGGCATTGCAGCGCTGCTTCAAAGAAGGCCCGCACGCGCGGCGCGCACGCCTAGCGAGTTCATGATCAGAATCACGTAGAGCTTTTAGCGTATGCCAGCAATAGAGCAACCGGGAAGACATGGCTCTACGATTCGGGACTTGCTGATCATCATTTCCTTGGAGGTTCTGGTTTTGGTCGCATGACCTTTTTGCTACTGCTAGGGCCAGGGATGGCGCTCCACCACCAGTTGGGCCCCCTGCACTGTGAAGAGTCAGTGATGAGCAACTGATGAGTACAGAGAGGAAGTCTTTGGAGCCCCCCCTACTGTACTTCCTGAGCTTGTTTCGTTGAGTTTGGGGTAGTCGGTTGAGGAAGGGACCCCGAGTTCTGCAGGAGTGTCCTTGCTCAATGTGTTTGCCGGCGTGTAGACGGTAAGCCTCTGGGCCGTTTCGCTACTTAGATACCTCGCCCGGATTCTGGCTCTGCCACCACCTATACCATCTACAACCGTTGCTGCATGGTGGTGCTAAGTCTGGGACTTGCACTGAAGGCGACGTGGAGCTGCTAAAGCAAGTGGCTCAGGAGATGCCGGAGGAGGAGCACAGCATAGCGTTTGAGACGGAGCGTACTGCGAGGGTAGCGGCTATAGCCATAGCGACACTGTTGAATCATTGAAGGGATGCGCGACTTCTGCAACTGCCCATCTTCACCCAAGGCACAGAGGCACAGAGACGGTTGATGTTCTCAGTATCCAGCATTGCAAGACTGGCCTGTACCAGCTCGCAACAGGCTTTGGGATTGCAGCAAATTTATATCTCTTCAAAGTTTCCGGTTCTGGTTGGACCTGGCTGCGCTTCTCCAATAGATCTGAGACTTCGAGGCTTTATCTCCCTCTCTCTCGCAGGTACTTTGTTCTTCGCCTGCCAACGAAGATCCTGTGGTGCAACTGCTAGTGCCTTGCCTGCTGCAGGAATTCGAGATGTATTTCCAGCAATGTATCGATTCGGGTCTTTGGCGTCCTGGATGACGACGGCCCATGGCGGAGATGAAACACTGAGTTTGCGTAGGCTTCTGGGGCTCTGCAGCCTGGATCTGACCCGCCAACGAGAGCGGGGTCGATCGTAAGGACACCCACGATGTTTACCAAGGCCTGGACTCAAAGAGGTCTTGGCCCGCTGTCTGGCCTGTTCAGCTCTGCTGGCCAATCGAATAGTCACAGAAACCTGTACATTTTCACTTCAACGGCGAGACATCGCGAGCTGGACCTTCTGTACGAAGAGCTGGCTTGATTTGGTAGATGTGAACTTGAACCCTTCATGCCGAAGCTGCTGTTGCCCAAAGATACATACAGTTCCTTAGCGTCGGCCCAGCATGGACGAGCCGCCACCGAAGAGACCCTGCACGACAACCACCAGTTTGTCTTCTCTTCGCGGCACTGCAACGGCTGCGGTCCATGCCGACACGCTGGCGGTGGAAGAAGAGTCAGTCCCGGAGTGGACTTTCTCGACGGCCGAGGACCGGCAATGCCTCATAGGTGATATATCTTAGCAGCTTCCGAGCTGGTGAGGGCACCAGGCCTCGGCCCTAGGCATATAGCCTTGCTCCACCACCGCGGCTGCATCCTCTTACGTCCAACTGCAGGATGTAGCACCACCGCTGAGCCTTAGCACGACCTTTACGGCGCCTTCCAGTGGCCAAGGGCACGTCTGGGGCTGAGACGGCTTTGGAGGGTTGAGGGACTTGCTGAATCATCTTGATGGTCGTCAGACATGCTTTCCAAAATCTAAGGGGACGTTATTGCACTGCCGTGTGCACTCTTTTGGCCGCTAAACCATGCTAAACCTCTGACGGCTTCAGTCAGAAGAAGCTCCGCTTGCCATCCTGCTCTTTCCCGCTCGCTGCTATCGTACCACTTACAGAGGTTTCCTCCCTACATCACCTGTGCAGCTGGCTGCATTCCACAAGTCCGTACCACCCGTCCCTTCAACCCAGATGCGATGCAGAGCTGACCGACAGTCATATGTCTCATGGCAATGGAGCTTGCCCTGATGCCCCCCAAATCTACACTCGACCTTGGGTAGAAGCAAATTACCGTTGCCCAGATCTACAGCCGAATCTCCGCGCCGACACGGAGTCGCTGCGAAACTCTCCTTGGAAACGTGGAGGGCACGGAGGCCTGGTGTTGCAAGTTTTCAGGCAACTGTGCGGTATCCCACCTGAGGAAAACAGAACCTTGCAAAGCCCAGGAACGACAACTGCAGATTCTCAGGCAAGAAGCACTTCTGAAGTGAGTTCTGAGTCTAAGCCTGATCGAGTCGAGGGTATGACTAGAGCAACCGGATGGCACGCGAGGAAGGTCGCAAAATCAAAAGACTCAAGACAGAACTAGTCTTGACCGTGCGTGGAACCCACCCGCCCACGCTGTCGCCTTGTGCGTTTCTTTACACCTCGCCTTGGCAGGAGCAGCCGGCTCACGCTGTGCTGTACAGCTCAGGTCTGGCAGCTGCGTTCGCCTTGCCTCATGGCACGGGATGCAATTGTGGGTAAGTCGATCTTGCACGGAGCTGGGATAGTCTGTCTGATCGAGCACAAGCACCGAAGCCAAGCACGAATATTGCTCCAGTGCTGAAGAGCACAGCCCGAACAGTCAAAAACCTTGAGCCCTTCTGGGAAGCCAAGGTTTGCACACTATCTGCCAAAACGCGTCTTCATTTCGGGTGGCTACCACGGCACTCATCAGGTTACTTG